ATCTTAATGAGGAAAAGTTCGTTCAAATTTGGAAGTAAGAGTTCTTGAAGAGAACTATGCATGTATTTTAATTCCATTCATTTCTTTTCTTCTGTGTCTTCTTTTTGCAAAGGTACCTCGCATGGCATAGTTGTTAGAGCGTCTGCTTTAGAGTCGCGAAGTAAGAATTCGATCCTAAGGTCGCGGGTTCGAATCCCATTGTGGGACGTGGAGACCGGTCCTTCGGATGAAACCGTATAAACTGAAGTCCCGTGTCGCAGTAGATACTGACACAAAAAAGATCCCTCACTGCAACATGGCCCTTAGTGCCGAGTATAGGACAAAATTTGTAGCTCTCCACCGCAAGTGGTGGTGTCTCCATATGAGTGAAAAATTCTCGAAAGGGACGATAAACAACAATCAATCAATCAATCTTTTTGCAAAGATATATAAACGGTAAACAATGTATCAAATTAATAATAGAAAATATGAAGAACTCCCTCTATGTGAAGACAAATTCTGTAAATTAAATATTACAGAGATTTTATTTACATGAATTCTAAAGTCAAAGATAAAAAGTAACACATCGGTAGATCTATGCTTCTGACGTCAGCTTTTTATAAACAAGTATTATGCTAGGTTATTCAGAAGGCATAGGGCACTTTAGTGCATGTTTCTCTGATTTACTTGTACACGTTGCCTACGGTTTTATAAACAAGTATTGCCACGTGACCCTGTCGTCTGCTGCCCTGAAGTACAAGTATAATCTATCATATTAGTGATTTTTATTTGCGTTTTGAGGAACTTAACAAGTTTTTTGACAGTATTATTTTTTTGTAAAACATGAAAAAAGAAGACTGGAAAGAAGGGTTGCTTGTTGTTTGTACGTCCCTTGCGAGAAATTTTTTATTCAATTGAGACATCACCGACTGAAGAGTTTCTAATTATAACTCAACAATCGAGTCAGTGAACAGTGAGGGTTTTTTTTTGGCCAACGTCGAGTGAGATACGGTCACTACTAAAATGCCGGGTATCACTGTGTTATACGTCTTACATCTGACGCGGCTCCGGGAACAAGAATCGAGCTTAAACCCTCCCGATCACGAAACAAGCCTCTACAGCGACCAAAATGAATCAGTGTGCGATATACGATTAAACAGTGTCTCAAGTATTGTTTGATTTGCAGTACTCGGTGTGCAAATAATGATATCATTCTGGAAACCAACTTATCTTTTGCGAGGCTCAAATGTTTGTTCGATTGATATTTTACTGTCCCTCTCGAGAATTTTTAACTCACTTGGAGACACCACCACTTGCAAAATTGAGCAATGAGGGATATCGTTTTGTACCAGCACCCCATGTACACGGGACCTCGGTTATACGGTTTCACCCGAAGGACCACTTTCCACGTCCCGCAGTCGGTTTCAAGCCTGCGACGTAAGGATCAACCCCTTTTTCCGCGACTCGAGAGCAAACGCCCTAACTGCCTTTGGGGAACTCATCTCCTATCCGCAACACCTCCTATTCCAATGAATGAATTTTAATGAGACTTTCACAGAATCTAGAGCCAGTGTGCACCTCCTTTTTTTTACTTTTTGATCGGACACATACATGTATTTCGGGTTTATAGTAGAAAAACATTGACCCTATCATTCTTTCTATATTAATGAAGGGTACCTATCTCTTATCCCTAACTCCTCCAATACCACAGCATAACATTTAATGATACTTTAACAGATTATTAATTACATAATGCCATTAAACACCTCTTATTTTATTTTTTTATCAGACACTTATTTCGGGTCTCCCAGAACAAAACATGGACTTCGCCATCATAGGCGGGGGTATCATGTAGTGAGCTCAGTGCTCGTAGTACCTCTAGTTCTATCGTGTATTCAAGTTTTTTCAGTCGCAAAAATAAACAGTCGTGGGTGGTTTTTAGGCAGATGATTGGCAAATAAATGATGCGAGAAAACTAGTTGGTTACAAGCAAAGACGGCATTGGAGATGAAAATCACAAAAAATAGTTTGTTTCCATTCGAATTGTAAAATCCGATAAAACATGGCTATGAAAGCAAACTGGTTAACAATGAAAATGAGAGAGAGAGAGAGAGAGAGAAAGTCATATGGTATGTACGAGTTTAAGAACTTTTTGTTCAAAGATACAAAATGAAAAGGAGTTTAAACCTCTTCCTACGCAAAGTGTTAATTACATGTAAACTTACAATTTATTTCATAGTGCAATCTTGCACTTCTAAATTATATGTTCTTATTGAACAGAAATGTTCGGTTTCCCATAGCATATCCGGGACTTTGCAAATACATGTATCTGGGGATGGCGTTCGTTTTTTGAGCTAAGTGTTCTTTTAAAATACCTTTAGCTTTTATCAGACTGCCACCATAAATTTATTTTAAGATGTTATTTTTAAAATTTACTTTAACTACATGTATTTATAGTTTTCCTCGTCAAGACTTTGGTTACTGGTTTCCCTACCTCACATTTATAAAAATGGATTATCAGAAATCATTTACATTTTCTAAAAGGAATTAAAATCCTCAACATCTGTGAATAAAATCAACTTTCAGTAAGAATCGAAGAAGAAAATAAATGTAGATTTTTTCTTCGCATGTTTATTAAAACGACTTTAATGATTAATTCCATGAATTTCTCATCAGACAAAAACAACAATTTAATGTTCTATGTTTCTTAAGACATTTTAGTTCTGAGATGTAAATGTCACATTCGTTTTATTACGATACATTATTCAACTTTTAGTCTTTAGACAATGTATAGAGTGTACAAAAACGAGAGATGACAAAGGAATAAACAACAAATGTGTGTAAACTGGGTCACGCTAAACATTTTAATTCTTGTGATAACTAAATACCAATCTATATAAGTATTTGGCTGTGTTTGTGACATAGAAATGTATTGCCATAAAAACGAATATGATACAATACAGTACATTTGTGTAGACGAGTTTGTTCACCGTCTGCATGTACATAGCACAATGAGCGCATTGGAGGATCAGGGAAAAGGGTGACCTGTTTCTCCATTTGACTTTATTTTCAGTCGAAATCGTTACCTTAACATCATAAAAGATAAAGACCTGAATTAATAATTGTGGTAAAAAAAAAAATACATCTGTAATATTAATTACTTCTTAACATATGCCCCAAAAAATGTTTGTCAATGTGCGATGCAGAACAAAAAAGGTTATAAAAAAAGTTACGACCTGTAACATGTAAAAAGGGGGTATTTAGAATAAGACACGGTAAGGTCTACCTTTTGTGTTCAACTATGCTCTAGGTCATTGCCTTTGAATTCATTATACAGTTTTTATACAGCAACACTGTACTTTATGAGCGAAATAAAATGCAAAATTATACAAGTAGTGAAAACGCAGAACTTCTGCAGTGGTTATAATTGTTTAAAAGTTAGGCTGATATTTATTTGAAATTCAGAGGTGTTCACTTAGAATAAAACATGTATTATATATACTATACATGTAGTTATGTTTTGAACTAAAATGATATATTTTTTATCCTGAAATCCCAAGCATTATCGATATTCCTGCTATTTAATTTTTTTTAAAAGCTCTTATTTTTATAATGTTAAAAGGTAGACAGTGTTTTATGGTACGGCATACCAAAAAGACTTAATTCTTACTTTCTTCTTTCTATCTATTTTCATAGAAGGTTATTTGGGGCTACGGTAAAAACTTCATATGGCTCTTTGACCTACCAATAAACGTCAAGGTATTTCGGATATTTTTTTATGTTCATCTTTTAATTTGTTGCCAGGGATACTTGACATCATAGATGAATTTGTAATTTTATGTTACAACTAAACCGACCATGTGTAAAAACAGCTACTTATAAATGGGAACGCTGGATTTTTTTGCACTCTTTCTATGTACGCAAGGTAACTTTGAAAATATTATCAATTTTCGTAAACAAAATTCGCCGCTTTTGATTGATTCTTAAAATAATTCAGAAAACCCCACCTGGGTATGTACTGCTTTTATCCAATCAACCATTTCGATGATTTTGAACTGTTGTCGGCTCAAAAATAAGGAAGCACAGAGAAAAGGATTAAAGATTTTGCCAAATATACTTCGTATTTGGCGAAGGCATTTTTGACCTTATAGGCACTTATATTGTTAATACGCGTGGCTGTCCAAATATTTGAATAGTATGATGCATCTTTGTTCAAATTCTTCAATAGAGCATAGGGTCATCTCATCGATTACATTATTATATTGCAGGGCTCATTGTTGTCGAATTAATGGTCTTACTATGTCAGATATTTCGTTGCTGTTCTGCTGCGAGAATTCTTTTACACTCGTTGTTTATTTGCACGCCTTAATGATTTTAATTTCAAGTGATGAAGATGATGTCTTCGGTTTAACCGATAAAATCAACGCTTACAAATGAAAAAGAATGTAAATGTATAGACTTCACAAGAATATTGATGCAACAAAGGTTAACTGAGGTCAGGTCTTGTGACAGATTCGAATTTGTTCTGTATGAAACATGCGAAAGCTGAATACCTTAAACTGAAATAGCTGAAATATTCACAAAAATTAGGTCGAGACGCGGCGTAGACTTACAATTGTTTTCTGATGAGTCGATGATTTGTTTTGAAAAATTTAACATTGAGCCGCAATGCTTGGTTATTTGATCGATTTAAAGTACACCACCGTATAGAAATGTATTTAATCGTGAGATAGCATGTGATTTCTTTTGTTTTTTGGCTTGTTTGTGGGTTAGCTATCCGTTCAATTGATAAAACAATTCAATACAAATTTAATAGGATTTGTTTTCAATTATGTAAAATATTTATATGTCAGTATGTGACGTTTAAATGCAACATCATTCCATAAAGATACAAGTGTAGGTTGAAACGGTGTGTCTGAAATAAAAATTTAATATGCACTCTCCAATTTATGCTAAGATAATAATGTTAAATACAGATGTCATTTTTATCATTTTTTAAAAACAGTTTCATTTGTTTATAGGTACTTCGATAAATGCACTTCATTAAATCTGTTGGAAAACTAAGTTGTGTACGACTAAAATGGAGGAAGAAGAATTCTTCAGACTTTTCACTCCACAGTCACTTGTACATATAGAAGATCGAATTGCGGAGGAAAAAGCGTTCAAGAAAGCCGAGAAACAGGCCCATGAGGAGGGGGAGGAGGAAGAGTTAGCCGCTCACGAGGAAGAGGAGCCCAAGCCCAATCCCAAGTATGAGGCGGGAAAAAAGCTCCCCTTGTCGCTCAAGGATCTGTTTCCGGTGGAGTATACAAGCAAACCCCTGGAAGATTTTGACGAATTTTACGAAACACAAAAAGTAAGAAAGATAAATTAAAGATAACATAACAAAAGGGATAAAATATAAAGAGTGAAAACGTAATAATGTAAACTGACTTCTGGTCCTAGCAATGCCATTAGAGGTTGCATTAGTACTTCCATTTTGAATACATGGCTTTTATTAAATTACAAATCAACCTATTTGAAAGAGTGAATTGATAAATATCATGCTTATTCTAAGTTCTTTGAATGTACATGTATGCACTTTAGAAATAACTGATTATATAAAGGTAACTAAACATACGGAGATCGTCACAAATTCTTATTATGTGTATTTTTAATACCTGGCCATAAAATGAATATTAATGCAAAATATAAAAAAAAAAATTGACACACATATAACTCAAGAAAATTCATTTAGAATTTAAAAGAACAAACTTTTTAACTAAAGAATCACTGAAAAATTCTATCACACAGTTTTTAGAAGTCACTGCTTCTTGTGTTGTCATTAATTGTTCTTAGCTATAGTAAACATGTATATTAAGCAGTCTCTAAAACCTGGTGTGGCGTCTGCCTGTTGTGAAGGATCAAAATTAAAATTGCGATTTTTACTTTGTATACTACTGTGGAATTGCCTTGAAGCCAGTTATAAGAAATATTTCTTTTAAATACACATCAACATATTAATTATTTGTAAAAGTAATTGAACAAAATTTTGAAGTATTAATTTCAGGTTGAAGTTAACCTAATGTAAACATTAGTCACAAAATATTTTTTTTAAAGTTCAATGATTATTCTTATATTATTAGTTTTTTTTTATATTGCAAAATGCCTACTTGCAGTTTTGTACATGTGACCTTGAACTTAGTCTTATCAAAATAACTTTGCTACATTTGAGTAAAATATGTAAATCTAGACATGTCATTCTGCCCTAAACATTTTTACAATCACATTGGGGCAAAGATATTATCCTTCAGACCATAAACAATCTTCAGTTTTACCGAGTACGAGCTTTTTATGATTCTGCATTAATTACAAAGATATAGCTCAGGCAAAGGACAAAATAGAGTAAGACCCTTTTTGGCCCCTGATTTTGGGTGTCATTTAGAATGATTCAACAGTTTATCAACAAAAACCTGTTAAAAACCAAATGAAAATTGGTTTTGGAATACATAGAGGTCAGAAAATAGGTCAGTTTTCGAATTTTATAATTTTTATGCAAATTTTCATCGATTTTACAGCACATTTTGTTTCGGAAAACACAGAGCACAAGCTTACCTATCTACCAAATTTATATATTTTATTATACAATTATGGACTCTTTTGGTGTTGAATATGGTTTGTTATTCACCAGAAAAATATTCATATTGAGAGAGAGATATTTTTCTGGTGAATAACAAACCATATTCAACATCAAAAGAGTCCATAATTGTTTTATTATATAGTCGGGATTTGAATAAAAAAGACAGTGAAGGCTGTATGACGACACAATTTTCATTTACGATCTTCCATAGTTGAAAATAGAAAAAATTCTCCAGATTACTTTTTGTAACCTCCGTGTTTTCCTTTCCGAATTTTGCTATATATAAGACGTCCAAATGTTAAAAAATAATCCTGAAATAGGTTTGAATAATTTTTTTTTTCTGCTCAGATACGTAGCACGCTGCTGCCGGTCGAACCATTGTTTACAACGTTGTTCGTCACAATGCCGTTGCACGCGCATTGAGCCTCCGGTGAATACGGCCTAAAATCCGGTGAATATGTAGTGTTATGAACTGTTTGCGTTTGTATAGATTATATAGGGACTATAAATAGACTATATAATAAACACTAGTATCAGATGCAGTTTATGTGTAAAAATCTCAGGTAGGCAAGCTTGTGCTATATGTTTTCCGAAGAGAAAAATATCCCAAGTATGATGAAATTCCACCAAAATGAGGAAATTCGGGAAAATGTCCTACAATGTACTTCTGCACCCTCTTGTGGCCTCCATGTAAGCTTTAAATCCAAGTAGGTGCTGGTTTTAAAGCAAGCATCATTTTAAGTTCTTAATTACAAACTATCACAATTTTGCCAGTGTTCTGATTTTTCCATCAAATAAGGGGCCGAATTCGACCGCTACCCCACGTTTTCCTTTGAACACTCTCTATGTTTGTGACCTTGAAGCTGTCGGAATGACGAGGTGAAGTCATGGGACTCTCTCGCGTCATAAACAAATTTTTCCCCAGTATGAGTTTCCATTAAGCTAGAGTCTCCTCAGGATTTTTAAAATATTATTTTTCTGGCAGTGACCTTCGATGGCACGGACAAACATACAGCTAGAGAAACAGACAGACAAAGTGATTCCTGTACATCCCTCAAATTTCGTTTGGAGGGGTTTAATAATTCGGTTGATAGTAAATGATTGTTAATTCAAAAGTAACATCGTCAGTAATAGTATTTATTCTATACAATTTTTTTTTACATTTTCATAGACGTTTGTGGTGGTTGGAAAAGACATGACTATCTACAGATTCAGCGCCACTAACGCCCTGTACCTCCTTAGTCCCTTCAACCCAATCAGGAGAGGTGCCCTCTACGTCTTAGTTCATCCATATCCTTTTACAGATTACTTTATGTTCCAGAAAAGTTAACAATCAATTATATTTTACATTATACATGTATACACTTATACCTATACATGTATCAGTATTTTGCTCTTTCGAATCAAATATATTCATCACAATTAAAAAATAATTATCTAGATAAGGTTAGATTTGGCTTAAGTTTGAATATTTGGAAGAGAACGAATAAATTGTTTGGTCCACTTATGGTTTTGGAATGTAAAAATAGTCCATATCTAGAAACTGCGGTTGGACTTGTATTTCATGAAAGACAGGAAAATTCTTTTTCTACGCCAAAAGTGTGTCATTGAAAAGCAGATCAGCTACAAGCCTTAACGATGACTGTACGTTATTTAGTGCGTTGGTGATTTTGACGATCATCGTCAACTGTGTTTTTATGGCACTTACTGGTGTCGAAACTGAGTTTATAGAGTAAGTTCAATGTGCCTGGCGTGATTGTACATTGGTGTAAAATAACGATGTACATGTATGTAGTAATTTAGACGTGCATTTCACATGTAACAAAAAATTGTAACTACGATGTGTTTTGTTCTTAATGTTGAATTTAATGGATGTATACCTGTATTTACTCCCACTCGGTAGATTCTAAATTTAGATTATGATAGAGAATTCGTGTTCGTGATGTGAAAATCGGGTATAACAAAACAACCTCGAGTTATAACAAGAGTGTAACACAACGAAGTATTGTGTAAATTACATGTACTTGTCCAAGACATGATTGTAACGTGGGTGTAAAGTAATCTTATATGGGGTTATTCTCTGTTTTGATTGTAACAATTGTATTATAAAACAATGAGTAAAGTAAGTGAAATTGACACGTCTCTGTCAGGATAATAACAAGAATGTAACTAAACGATGTTTTGTCCACGTTAAATGTACATGTCTCTTCCTATGTTTGTAACAAACGTGTATCATTATTATAAATGTACATGTCTCTGTAATGATTATAAAATGAGTGTCAGTAATATAACTGTAGCAATGAATTATACTTGTCCTTTTATGACTGTAACAAAAGTGTAACATAACGACGAACGTATGGAGTAAACTAGATTGTAATGTTTTGTCACTTTTGTGACAACAGTGTAAATTAACAAATAATCGATTAAGATACATATACCGGTAGATCGTAATGCTCCTCTTATTTTTGTGAAAAGAATGTAATAACATACAGATGTATGTATTGAGCAAGACTGTAATGTTTTGTCATTTTGTCACAAGAGTGTAACATTACATAAATATTGCATGTAGTTGAGTGTAACATTGAAAATTTTCGATCGGGAGAGGGCAACTTACCAATCTTTTAAAGATAGCCTAAGCTATATGTGAATTTCGAGAGTGTGAAATATGTTCTACACAATTTAATTTGACTTATTTCTGTATCTTTAATGAGTGTATTATATGAATATAAACAGAGTATACATGTAAAATTATACCAGTAGAAAAATTGCAAAACATAAGTTTTGCAAATCGAAGGAAAATTTTACGTTAATGTTCCTGTCGGAAATGTACATTCCAACATTTTAATCTTACCTGGAATGGGTCACGTTAAGTGTTTTAGATTTGTATATCAGCCCACTCAGGAAACAAAATGAAAGCATAAGAAACAAAAATGAGTCAATGTATTCTTCCAAACTATGTTCCAAAACAATTTTTTCAGAAGTTTACTACATGTAGGTTTATTTTATGTCTTGTGTTATTGTGTATTGTATTATTTGTACATGTATATTAGTGTCTCTTATAGTTAATTGACATGTTCGTTAACGTTGGACTTTTGCAATTTCTTGTTGTGTTATCTAACAGTTTGCCTTAACCGTATTCACATTATTCAGCGCGTTGATCATCATCACCATCATAGTCAACTGCGCTTTCATGGCCATGACTGAACAACCATTTACATGGATCGAGTGAGTAGGAATTTCAAGAAAAATATTCAATTTTATCAAAGGAGCACTATTCATGATAAAAGCATATTGATGCAGATTGTATAAGTTATTGGTTTGCATTTGCTTAGCCATCTTTCCAAATGCTGTTAAACGAATTAGAAGTTGAAATATTTAATCGATCAATCAATGAATTAATCAATCAATCATTGTGTTGTATGTTGTGACAGATACGTCTTCACTGGTGTGTACACTATGGAAGCTCTCATCAAAATCAGCGCCCGCGGATTCATCATCAATACTTTTACATACCTGAGAGACCCGTGGAATTGGCTAGATTTCGCCGTCATTTCCCTAGCGTAAGTCACTTCTAAATAAAAAAAAAATCTGGTCTCTTAAATCTTCATTAAAAACAGAGAACAATTTCGATTTATTTCTCTCATCGTATTTTGATACAGCTTTTAATTAGTCAAGTAGTAATTGATGTTTTTTTTTTCATTTAAATTACAAAATTCAGACTTCAGAATTATTGCTAACAATAACATTTAAAACAAAATATACTTTCGTGGGGAAACAATGCTAAAAATATATTTCAAGTACTATTAGGAGAGATGCACTAAGTTTTGACTGCACATTAAATTTCTTTTTACCTCTCTAACGTTGAAGTATATTTCACTATGTATCGTGCACTGTTAATGTTTTGGAAGGTTCTTTTGACATCTAAAATATGAACATCTTTAGAAAACGCAGACGTCTACAAACTCTATTTAGTCAAAAATTACGAATACATAATAGATTCTGTGATATTTTTTTCTGTAATATTTCTATGCTTTCCTTTTCAAACTCGTAATCTTCTGCATTTTATTTGTAGATATTTGTCGAAATAAATAAACCCTTTTTCTAAGAGGTTTATTTTATCAGATCAAGAGCAAAATTGTTTACCTAAAAACAAAAATGTCGAATAATCCACCGTCAAGATAGTAAAGTTACACAGAATACACGCATCTACCTATATAAGAACTAATGTCTAATTTGACAATTTTACTTAATATTTTTTCGATTTCTACTAAAAAGCTTCCACTTTTTAATTGTCAAAAAGTGGGGAAAATAATAATCAAATTATAATTTAATTTTACAACTCTTGGGGATACAGAATTTGATATATTCGTATATCTTTTGCATTCTGATGTTGAATTCTCTGCTCCTTACTAGCACTCTGTTTTTTTAATGCACGCTTCATCTGATCACTGCCTCTTTTCTTCAGTCTCATCACCTTCTTCACATTATTTTTTTACAATCAGGTACGTTGAAACTTGCATAATTGAACCGCTAGAGTTAACGAAGGACGGTCTGGGAAATTTAGCAGCTCTTCGGACCTTTCGAGTGCTCAGAGCACTAAAAACTGTAGCTGTAATTCCAGGTAATTTTGAAAATGTTTCATGTATTTGTCATGTAAACCATATTACATTTTCCTCACCAGGTATGTAACCATGGGGGTAGACCTGGGAAATTTATCAGCTCTTAGGACCTTCAGGGTGTTACGAGCCCTGAAAACAGTTGCTGTAATACCAGGTGAAATTTGCACGTTAGACGTGTCTTTTTTACTCACTAAAAAGCACCCACTAAAGAAATTGTTTTAATACACTAACATCACAAGAGGTATTTGTTTTTAATTTGGTTGTTTTTTATTTTTTTATTTTTTCTCTCTGAAAATTGGCACATGCTGTTAGTTTACATGACTAACTTCACCAGGTTTATTCTTTCACTTTAAAATTCAAGGTTTTTCTTAACTTACAAACTAATAGAAATGTTGTAAATTTTTACATACTTATATAAATTTATCAAGTAGAACAAAAAGAGAAAATTTACTTTTAACAGAAAAATATGCTTTTTTGCTACTGTGAAATGAATGCAAAGAGCATCTTGATATGTATGTATCTGTGTATTTTCTTGATTTGCTAGAATCGTTGTTTTTGAATGTTTTATGATGTTTTCTTTACATGCAAGTATTTTTGCCTCTATCACAAGGGGAAATGAGTTCTTCTATCTTATATATATATATATATATGATGTGTGCACAACTACTTTGAGGTTTAATAGAGAGTAATTAAACTTATTATGGAACGTAAGTTGATACAAAAGACCTTCAAAATGAACACTACCTCATTGAAATTTGAACTGTTGTAAACTTCCTTGCTATTTTTTAGGGTTTTCAGCATTAGCTATACCTTTCACTCTTTCAGATATTCTTGTATCATTCTTGTGTCATTCCTTTATTTTTATGTTAAAAAAAATTCTGTTATTCAGTAGATTGTACAATTTTTAGACTATAGATAATGTATATACGATATTTAAGATACATAACTACTTTCTGTACACAGTTTTAGATTTCATCACAATTTTTTAATTAACAAATTGAATATTGATTGATGATTGTATATTGGTTAAAATCCCTCTCGAGAATTTTTCACTCACATGGAGACGCCACGACTTTCCAGTAGAGAGCTGCAAATTTTGTCCTATGCTCGGCACTCAGGGCTATGTAGCATTTAGGGATCTTTTTTGTGCCAGCATCAACTGCGACACGGGACCTCGGTTCATACGGTCTCATCTGAAGGACCGGTCTCCATGTCCAAAAATGGGATTCGAACCTGCAACGTAAGGATCAACTCCTTACTTTGAGACTTAAGAGCAAACGCTCTAACCACTCCGCCACGTGGTTGAATTCACAAATTAAAATCTGCGCTTATGATAGCTAACAAATTACATAATTTTTTTTTGCTTTATGTGCTGTTAGTGTTATCTTGAAATTTTTTTAAGAAGAGCATTTTTAATTACATTGTCAATGTTTTTTAAATGAATTTTTAAAGATTTGTTAAGATATACTAGTACTTAACTTTACATGATTTCACTAGTATCTCAGTCTTGTTTGTGCATTCCACGGTCAAGTGGTGACCTTACATTCAGTATATTTAGCACTTCAGGTTACTAAACGATCTTGTTGTAAGAAGGAACTGAAAGATGTTTTCTTTCACTTGTAAATCGTTGCATGAGTCTTTTTGCATGCAGCTTGAATAAAGTTGCTAATACATATTTTAACCAATTTTCACAACAAAGGGTTCTGTAGTTTGCATTGAAATAAAGTTTTAAGGTTTCAAGATAAAAATGTGAGGATTTTGTTTATTTATCCAATAAGAAATTTTATTGATTCATCTGAAAAGCTTTGCATAAAACTGGTCTTCGACCATTTGTACAGCATACAGAAATGAAGAGAAATTTTCTTAGTTTACGATTTTTGAGAAATAATTACGTAACTTTTGTGGTTTGGTGTTAAGCATAGTTAAAATGTGTCATTGTAATTGATTGTTCTACTACTTTAAACGACCCTTTAATTTTGCTGAGTTTTGAGATGGTAGATTTGATAAAAGTTGAAGGAAAGTTTTCGAAGAGATTGTATTAACTTTTACAATTAATTTATAACTTTCCTCGTAGGCTTGAAGACCATTGTTGGTGCCTTACTGGAGGCTGTGCGGCGGCTCCGAGATGTGATGATTTTAACTGTTTTCATGCTCTCAATTTTTGCCTTAGTCGGTATGCAATTATACATGGGTACTCTTAGACAGAAATGCGTCACATTTGCCAACTTCACGTACGACAATTCCACCGAGGGCAACGAGACAGCCTGGTCATATGATGATGCCTGGATAGAGTATGCAATGAATCCTGGTGAGATATTCATTTTTATGTACTTAAATTATGTTTTTGAAAAAGATAAATTGAGGTAACTTGAAGTAGCTGGATTTGAATGAATTTTAGCTTGACATTGTCCACCGTCCATCTGGATATTCAGTTTTGTACGACAATTAAAATGAAATGGGAAGATAACAAAACAGTTAAATAGTACAAATATTGTGAGCAGAGCAAACACTGACCTGCGAAAACATCAGATATCATGAAGGAGTAAGCATCCCAAGTTTACCATCACATCTGCCTTTAACCCTATATTTTTTCATGTTAACGGTACGAATTTTGATATTGATGATTTCAGGAATTGTTTTGGGGGTCATAAGGTTTAAAGATACACGATTTATTTTGCTAAAAATAGAAAACATGGTTCTGTTAAACAATTTCTAAATGGTTTGGGTTAGGATGTTCGTACCTGCAATATGATTCTGTCTTATCAAGAAGGAAAGTGGATTTGCTTTCGAGATAATTTTATTTGTTTGTTTGTATATTGTTAAACTCCCTCTCGAGAATTTTCACTCATTTGAAGACATCACTTCTTGCCGGTGGAGAGCTGACATTTTTGTCCTGTACTCGACACTTATGTTCATTGAACAGTGAATGATCTTTTTTCGTGCAAGCACCTACTGTGACACGGAAACTCGGTTTAAACGACTTGTCTCCACCTCCTTCAGTGGGATTCGAACCCTCGAAGTAAGGGTCATCTCCTTACTTCGCGATTCTAGTGCAGACGCTCTAACCACTGCACCACGCGGGCGACGAGATATTTGTGTCAAATAGCGTAGCTTTAGTTGCTTAAAACAAAATGATTGGTTTCCTATTGCAACAACATAAAAATGCTTTCGGCCGGGATTGTTAAAGAGCTTTGCTTAGATAATTAGGGTTTCATGTGAACAACGGATATGACTCTTTTATTAATGAAATACGTTATTATTTATTGAAAATAAAAAGCAATAGATTCCAACATTTCAAAAACAGATAAACCCAAAATTTTAAAGGATGTAATCTTAACAAAAATTACTCTCAACTACTGTTGAACAAAGATGGTTGAAGGATGATGCAAATGTGTACCAGAAGATAAGTTGAGACCATAAGTTTGTAAGAGTATTGATTTGAGAAACTTGTCTAAAAATGCCTCGAAAAAAAGCTATTCAAGCTATCTTTACTGCACAAAGAACCCTTGCTCATAATGTTGAACATTAATTTATATATTTTGAACCTTTATGTTCAAAAATCAAAATAAACTAAACTGTTTTTTATGCATTTTAAAGCTCATTGGTACACGCCTGATGGAACCGAATACCTGATATGTGGAAATGCTTCAGGAGCAGGGTAAGAAATATTATATTAATTTTGCGTGTGCAATCAGTGCTTTGATTGTGTTTAATATGGATTTTTTAAAAACATGTACATATCAATATATTTTTTCGATTTTCAGACATTGTCCTCCAAACTACGTTTGCATCAACAATACCCACACAAATCCAAACTTTAATTTCACTCATTTTGACAACTTTGGCACTGCCCTTCTGTGTACATTCCGTTTAATGACACAAGACTTTTGGGAGAATCTTTACCAAATAGTACGTATGAATCTTAATTACACTATTGTCGTAACACGAAGAACTGTTCAGAGCTCGATGCTTACAGAAGGTTCCTTCTTTTGCAGACTCTGAGAGCTGAGGGTCCTTACCATTGCGCCTACTTTATCATTGTGATTCTGCTGGGCTCCTTCTATCTGGTGAACCTGATATTGGCCATTGTCGCCATGTCTTATGACGAGACGCAGAAACAGGACCAAGCAGACGCCGACGAAGAGGAAGAAGAAAGAAAGGTAAAGGCTAGGAGTCCGTTATGTATACTGAAGCTAGGAATCCATTCTGTATACTAAAGCTAGAAATCCATTCTGTTTACTCAAGCTAAGAATCCTGTCTGTATACTGAAGCTAGGAATCCATTCTGTGTACTCAAGCTAGGAATCCTGTCTGTATACTGAAGCTAGGAATCCATTCTGTATACTGAAGCTAGGAATCCGTTATGTATACTCAAGCTAGGAATCCATTCTGTATATACTGATTCAAGGAATCCGTTATGTATACTTAATCTAGGAATTCGTTTTACTGAAGTTAAGAATCCGTTATTTACTAAAATCTTTTAAAAGATTTGTTTGCTTACTAATACCAACAGAGTAATTGGAATAGTTATTAAATATATGTGTTGCAGTACGAAATTATTGATTTATTCTTAAATCCATGTACATGTGTTACAATATGAATAAATATGTCATGACGTATTTCTTTTCAAACAGGATTTAAATGAAAACTTAATGGTCTTTGTAATGTTTTAACAAAATTAAATACACTTTTCAATATCAAATTTAAAGAATATTTAAGTAATTCTATGCTTTAGATCAAATTCTCTCATAATTTAACATAAGGTATTGCCATTTGTATTTTCATGCAATTCAAATAATTATTAACTGTATAGATCCTGTTGTGCTATTTTTAGGATATTTCCAGCGTAAGTAAAGGTGGACCCGCTTAAAAGTACATGTATATAAAGTGTTACCAAAAGAAAACCTTTATTGTATGTCCAGAAAGTCAGATACTTGGTCATTTAATAACAATCTAATTTTGTAGAATCATTAATATGGTGTGGGGAAACCTATTTAGAACATTAATCAACTTAGAGAAATGTAATAATTAGAAGTTATTAATTGTATATATTCCCAACACAAGGTATTTAATCTACATTCATAGTCAGATGGAACTTACAAATGTGGCAGTCCATAGGGTTATGTATGGCTCTTTTATTAATTATAAAGCATGCTCATATTCAAATCTAATCAGATAATAATAACAGTTTTACGACGAAAACACAACATTGTTATTATAGAAGGCAATGCAAATCCATGCGGTAAGTAGTCGCACCGCGCACGGATAAAACATCCAAATTCCGATATACACACGATTGCAAATTTTATATTCAGGCATATTACTTATGTATTTTTGAAATGTATTCTATCTTTCTACTTATGACCGGACTTGTCTCGCATGGTGGAACATATATCATATATTTGCATGTTCAAACATGTATAACTCCAAGATAAACTACATATATTGAGAATTTACTGTTGAACAATGTACGTAAATACTTGAAGAACTTAATTCATTTGCAGAAAGGATATTTTGAAAAGTTGATAGATAGTAAAGTCTTGTTTTACATGTATTTTATAAATAAATATTTTTTTAAGTATTTTTTTTCTTAATGCTCTCTGTGTTTTTCTATATGCTTAGACACACAATTCGATTGAAAATCTCGGTGCTCACGTTTGCTCAGTTTACCCTTTCAATTCTAACTTAACATTAAAAATAAAATAACATGATCCTCTCAAACCTTTATGCCCTTTCAACTATCATGCATCAGACTGCAAACAAATTCCGAATTTTTTTGACTGACCAACCCTTTCTTCCAAAATTTGTGCTATTGAAGCGTTTTCCCATACACTTTAAAATTTAATAAATCTATTGCATTTTTTATTTTGTTACTTTTTATATTTACATAAATTGAAAAATTAAAACTCATAAAAAACTGATAGATACATACACATCCATCTCGAATTGATTTACATATATGTTAATTTTTTTAGAGAAACTATATCTTTAAAATGCAATATCTGAACAGATTCAACAAACAATTCACGACGGACTGAGAGAAGATTACCAAGAATATCTGGAGGAAAAGCTGTCCCAGGCCAAAAGTCATTCCGAGACATCATTAAGTGACCACGAGGGAGAAGACAATGCCGACAAAATCAGTGTTCGGTCTAATAAGCCGGAGGAAAATGGACAGTTCCTCAGTGTCAGCAAAAAGGTAATGGTCGTTGTAGCTACACTTTGGTGATAGTGAAGTATTCTAGTGTTCCAAACATTACTAACCATATAGTATTTATAAATAATAATGTGTTCTCCCCTCACACAACACGTGGTTAATCGTTTGGAGATTTTGCATGCATTTTGCACTTGAGTAGCATTCAGTGAAGAAGAATGAATCTGCTTTGAATGATAAGTTAACAAAAAATGTGTGGTTTTCCTTGCCTATTAATTTTACGCAGACACATCGCCATGACTGGCGTTAATGCAGTGCATATAATCCCAGTTTGCTTTCAGCTTCTTTACTGTGAATGTGCATTTTTTGCAGCAACCTAGCTTGAGTTTACCTGGCTCTCCATTTGTAAGACGAAATACAAAGAAGAAATACAATGCAAATCATGGTGACCACCAACCCCTAATGCTGGACAATCTACCTTATATAGATGACCCAAATGCTGTTACCCCTTGTTCGGATGACCTAAATATGAATTTGACCTATAAACAATTTCTTGCGTCTCGAAGAAATAGTTATGCGTCATTGCTAAAACGCACTGGCTCCTCAAGACGCAGTAGTTTTGCGTCACGTGATAGCAGACGTTCTCTCCCAAGGTCACCTCGGTCTCCATTAGAAAAACCCGGGAAATTAGATACCCCATGGGATTGGAAAAAACCAAAGGACAGCTCACATTTACATCCTCTTGATGCTGGGGAGCATGGTAAACATGTCGAGAATGTAAGTTTGGAACGGCACAATAAGATGTTGCCTTTTTGTAGACTCATCTTATAACTTTCCTTCTTCTTCTTGTTTCTCTTCTTATCAAGCCTGAAAACGAAATGCTTTTGTATTTTATAAATAAACCAATTTATATTTTAACTCACCTGAGCCAAATGCTCAAGTTTTTTGGTCGAAGAGTGTCCGGCGTCCGTCTGTCATTTGTAAACATTTCACATTTTCTATTTCTTAAGAACCTCTAGGTCAATTTCAAAGCCCTGAGAATTTGGTGGCATCTTTTGGAAAAATCTTCTTCTCAAGAACCACTGATCAAAAGAGGATATAAACACGTATGAAAGCCTCATTACATACACTTAATTCAAATTTGTTCATATCATATCCCGGGGTAGGGCTTGGCTACAAGAGGGGGTTGAAGTTTTACACAGGAATATATAGAAAATGTCTTTAAAAATCTTCTTCTTGAGAACAGCAAAGCCATGATTCGTCATACTTAACATGTATTATTATGCTTCCTGTCAGTTTGTCTCTATATAACCCATACCCTACTATTCTCGCATAGTGGTCTAAGGATTTATATAGCGTAAGCATACTATGCCGAAATAGTGCACGGCTTTATTTACTGAATAAAATTCTTCCATGCACATGCCGGGGATCGAACTCATGACCATGAGATTATCAGTCCGATTCCTTATCGATTACGCCATAGAGACGATCACTGCTTTGTATACTTTTATGAAATATATAAACTTAATTTATACAATTGACACAAGAAGGAGAAAATAGACAAATAATATTTGAAAACAGTTATATTATTCTAAGGAACTTTAGATTAATGTGTACAACAAACTTTCAAACTAATTACAGACAGATCGTTAGATGAACTGATTTTATAGGGTCATTAAAACGCTTTTTTATATGACACTTGATTGAAGGATGTAAAAGAATATTATCAATGAAAATCGACGTCTGCAAACAAATAATATATAGACTTAAATGTCTTTAAAAATTTTCATGAATATTTTTCTTAAGCACCTCAAATAGAGCATAAATAATTACAACAGTCAGCAAAGCCAGGGTTTGAGTGCACTCGCCTCCGGCTCGTGCACCATGTGTACCCTGCCTTATTTACATGTACATGCATAATGCAACACTATTATATAAATAGAAGTATCCCCAGGGACTGTAGATTCAACTTTGTTCCAATCATGACCCCAGAGGGTAGGACAAGGCCACAACAGATGACAAAGTTTACAATGGGAATATATTGGAAATGTCTTTAAAAATCTTCTCCTCAAGAACAACGTAGCCATTGAGCCATAAGACTGTAGAGTCTTATTAATACAGAAGTATCCTCAGGTAGTGTAGATTTAGTTTATTCAAATCATGACCCCTTGGGTAGGGCGGGGCCAAAAGAGTGGATTAAACTTATCCATACATAGAAAATTAGAAATATATAGGTGTACATGTAATGGTCAAGGGGCATTTGAGTAAAACGCTGTGAAGACTTTAAATAACGGAATGACCTGACAACCCTTGGAATGGACTAGCCAAACCAAAGGGTATAAAAATAAAGTTTTGAGAAAGTCAAGCATTTGGAAGCTAGCTTAAGAAGTTGCATTCAGAAGTTAGCTTAAGAGGTTGGGTCTTTAATCATCAATAAAGATGTTAAGGTACTCCATCCCTACTAGCACCAGATTCAATGAAATTGAATACATTTGGATTAAACCAAACATATGAATGACACATTTTAAAAAAAATAAAAATTTTTCCAGATATGACGTTTTTCCTTATATTTAGATTAACATTAATCAAAACGTTTAGAATCTTAAATATCATTCTATGAATTGCAAAATTCAAAGGCCGAAAAGAATTTTGTTTTAATGCATGGTTTGTTTCCCTATTCAACTTTTCACAACCCCTGCCTTTTTCCTTCAAAATATGTCCTTCACAAATGAAACATTCGAAGGTGATGGCATGTTTATTGGAATTACTAATCTTCCCGCTTGGTTAAGGACGATCGCTTTTTTTCATTTGTATTATCCTCTTAATTTAAAATAATATAGAGATTTAACCTAATGTATCCACGCTTCTTTGTTTCTTTATATGTAATTCTGAATTAAAACTGACGATGTTTGCTTTTAAACATAAAAAAAGAGACGTAGGAACTCGTATATTAAAGATCTTTTTATAAAGAACAGAGACTATTTGAATTAAGGACTATAAAAATAATAGACTCTTTTTTAGGAAGTTTTGCTTCAGCCTTATTTTAAAGTTTAACTGTCTATCAAAATGCTTTGAAAGAACTGGAAATAAAAAAAATATTTTTTAAGAACACATCTTGTTTAAGAAATGACTCGAATATTTCTCCAGGCAAAACCTAATAAGAAGTATTTTCTTTCTGAAGATAAATATAAATTCCAATTTTGAGAATTATGTTCTTTTGGCCTTATGCAATGATATTTCAAAAGACTCAGTACTCGGAAAAGCAAAGAATATTTAAAACGAGGCTTTTGTGGAGTTTTGTCACTTGAGCATTGTTTTATTATGTCTATATGCACAAAATATAAACAAGACTTTAACTACTGTAGGGTTCCCTACATGATTCCCGAATGGACATTGAAAAGAAGTCTCACGACGGGGACATGTGCCACCCTCATGCCGGAAAACATGTAGATCCGAGAGGTATTTGTACTGTGTTTTTTTTAATTTACTAGTCAACTTAATTCAAAGTATTTTTGTCGTATTAAGTATTCGCTCTCTTATCTAGATATGATGGTGATCAAGAATCTCCTGGCACACGCAGAGGGTCACCGAAACAGCAAACACAGTACGTTGTTTGTAAAATATCCTTTCGGGAGATATTTGTTTCTTATAATAATATTGAAAGATGTGATTTCTATAACTACAGAAGTAAAGCATGGAATGAGTGTGCTTGAAAGTTATGTTTTTCTTTGTTGTTCTAATTAAAAACCCGGTTTAATCTTGAATGTTAGAATAAGCATCTTTTTTCCAAAGGTATCATCAGTGAATTCCCCTTTGAGGAAGAGGAATTGCCTCTAAAGGACCGTTTATATAATCGCTTCTGCAGCTGGCATTGCTGCCGTTGTTATGTGAAGTTCCAGGAATTTATTGCGATGATCATCTTAGACGCCTTCGTGGACCTCTTCATCACCATTTGTATCCTTGCCAACACTGCGTTCATGGCGGCCGATCAACATCCTAAATCACCCGAACTAGCAGAAATTCTTATTTATGGAAACTACGTAATAATTAGATTTAGACTGAATTTGCTGTAATAAGCTATAATCGTAGTTCTCTGGATGCTAGTAATTATATTCCATGAATTATTTCAAGGGATTAAATATTTCTCTTTGAATATGTCTAACATTGAATTATTATTATTATTTTTTTTTTGCATAATACATCGCTTTGTATCTCAGTGTACAAAAATTAGATATCACATTAAGTAACGAAAATAAATTTTAAATTCATATTTGAGGTTTGAATATTATTCCAACTAAAAGCAGTTTACTTGCATTGCTACATTTAAGAAATACTAGTGAATCATTTTTAAGTTTTGAAGTAAAAAATATTTCTTACCCCCCTTTCGTTTTCTTTAATGAAAGAAATGCGTTGAGTACTAGCGTTTCTTCTTTTCAGGTTTTCACGGGTATCTTTGCATCTGAGGCTTTTCTAAAATTAATTGCATTAAGTCCACCGAACTACTTCAGAGATGGCTGGAATATTTTTGATTTCTTCATCGTGGTACTCAGCTTTTTAGAGATGGCGTTAGACGGTGTTTCCGGATTGTCTGTGTTGAGGAGCTTCCGTTTGGTATGTCTGAAAGCAACACCGTAGGAAAATATTTATCAGAGTAACATTGATAGTCACTAGACACAAATTATTAAAATCGTCCACAAATATGAGTGTAGGATAAACAAATGTTATCCTTCTGGTCGTTTAAGTGTAAAGTTTGCCTATACAGCATACCATAAATTAAGAGAAAAAGTTCTCAAGGTCTTTGCACTTATTGGACTGTCAGTTTTTAATTGCGTGGACCCTGAGGTCCACGCAGTAAATATATAAGCGAGGTTAAACCGGATGCCCTGGGCAAACGTCAGGATACGCATGCGCGAGAATGCTAGAGGGTTTGTAGTCTGTATCATCCAGATGTTTGCGTTTGAAGGTAAACGCAAACGTCTGGATGATACAGACAAAAGAATTTGCTCTTAAGACAACTTGCTCGTAGAATACATCGCCCTAGTCGGATTAGAATATGCAATTTCATTGACAAATTTTGCTTTTAAATTTGCATACTTCATTGTATTTATATCTTTATTGGCGGATCTTAATATACAAACTAAACATTGCTTCTATGGCACAAGCATTTTAAAAAATATGAAGAACTTGCAGTATATACTATTAGATAATTCAATAACTTGAATTTAAAACTTCATTCAACGACAAGTTCTAGCTTTTAAAATCGGCATTAGTTTTATGCATCAAATGACGAGGCTTGCAAAATAATTTGATACAGAGCAATTCAAATACAGTTTGATATATGTTTCATGTATACATGTGTGTGTGTGTGGGGGGGGGGGGGGTTCGAATGTTAGAAAAATTAAAAATCTGCGTACTATAGAGCTAAGCTACAATTGTACCATCAGATCTATTTTCTAATGATAGATTTCTTCCAAAATAGCACGACTTTAAAGATTTAAAATTAGAAAACTAAAGGGTAATCGGAAATGAAATTTAATAATTTTGCTATGAATGTAATATCAGTCAAATAGGCAGGTCATTGTGGAAATGTAAACGAACCTACGTGAATTCACTAAACCTAAACATTTTCTCTAATTGAATTTCGGTTGTGAGCTTTTCTGATCACATTTTGTCCGTCGTCCGTCCGTCCGTCCGTCCGTCCGTCTGTCCGTCTGTCTGTCCGTCTGTAAACTTTTCACATTTTCGACTTCTTCTCAAGAACCACCGGACCAATTTTGACCAAACTTGGTACAAAGCATCCTTGGGTAAAGGGAAATTTAAATTGTTAAAATGAAGGGACATATCCCCTCGCAAGGGGAGATAATCAAGAAAAGACAAAAATAGGGTGGGGTCCTTAAAAAATCTTCTTCTCAAGAACCACTGGGCCAGTAAAGCTGAAACTTATGTGGAAGCATCCTGGTATAGTGTAGATTCTAAATTGTTCAAATCATGACCCCCGGGGGAAGGGCGGGGCCACAATGGGGAATCAAAGTTTTATATAGAAATATATAGGAAAAATCTTTGAAAATCTTCTTCTCAAGAACCACTGGGCCAGAAAAGCTGAAACTTATATGGAAGCATCCTGGTATAGTATAGATTCTAAATTGTTCAAATCATGACCCCCGGGGGAAGGGCGGGGCCACAATGGGGAATCAAAGTTTTATATAGAAATATATAGGAAAAATCTTTGAAAATCTTCTTCTCAAGAACCACTGGGCCAGAAAAGCTGAAACTTATGTGGAAGCATCCTGGTATAGTGTAGATTCTAAATTGTTCAAATCATGACCCCCGGGGGAAGGGCGGGGCCACAATGGGGAATCAAAGTTTTATATAGAAATATATAGGAAAAATCTTTGAAAATCTTCTTCTCAAGAACCACTAAAGCCTTATTAGTATTTTCTAATTGTTAAATCTTTCAAAGTTTTACATAGAAATATGTAGGAAAAATCTGAAAATCAAGAACCACTGGGCCAGAAAAGTGAAACTTATGTGGAAGCATCCTGGTATAGTGTAGATTCTAAATTGTTCAAATAATGACCCCCGGGGGAAGGGCGGGGCGACAATGGGGTATCAAAGTTTTACATGAAATATTAATAATTTTGCTTATGTGGAGCATGGTATAGTGTAGATTCATTGTCAAATGACCCCCAGGGGAAGGTCATTGTATCAAAGTTTTATATAGAAATATATAGGAAAAATCTTTGAAAATCTTCTTCTCAAGAACCACCTTATGTACTGATATAGTGTAGATTTTAAATTGTTCAAATAATTCAAAGTTTTATATAAAAATATATAGGAAAAATCTTTGAAAACTTCTCAAGAACCACTGGGCCAGAAAAGCTGAAACTTATGTGGAAGCATGTTTCTCATAGGGCGGGGCCATTTGAAGTTTTACATAGAAATATATAGGAAAAATCTTTGAAAATCTTCTTCTCAGGAACCACTCTGAAACATATGTACCAATGGAAGGATCATGGGGTAGTGTAGATTTCAAAATGTCTAAATTATGATCAGTGGGGTAATGTGGGGATGCATTATGTATAACAAGGGTGAAATCTGGTAAAGAACAGAATGGTCAAAGCTTCTCAGGTGAGCGATGTGGCCCATGGGCCTTTTTTTAAAGGACAGCAACTTGTATAAGATAATAAAAGTATAGAATATTTTGTATCAAAACATAAGACTACGATTTGCTTTAGTTTGTAGGAGAGAATTTTCTACAATGTAATTAAAATAGGTTGCAGATATATAGATATTGTTAAATGTCAAACGAAATACAACCATTTTTTTACATTTCAGTTACGAGTGTTCAAACTTGCCCGATCTTGGCAGACATTAAACATGCTGATTCGCATCGTGGCGGGTACAATGGGAGCGTTAGGAAACCTTATCTTTGTTCTTGCCATTGTTGTGTTTATTTTTGCGGTGATGGGACAGCAATTGTTCCGAGACGGTTATCTTTCAGAATATGCCGATAATATGCCGAGGTGGAATTTCACGGACTTTCTGCACTCTTTTATGATAATCTTCCGAGTTTTGTGTGGAGAATGGATTGAATCTATGTGGGCCTGCACAAATGCTAATGGACCTGTGTGTGTTCCTTTCTTCCTTCTTACATACGTCATAGGAAATCTTGTTGTAAGTTTGAAGATTAAAATAAAAATAAATTGTTGAGCACTGGTCTATGAAAAACTCTTCAATAAGATATATATGTAATACAGCTCATCCAATCATGATATAATGTGACATTAAAACAGTGAAATATCTAGATGTTAAATATTTTCGTACATTTTTATTTGATTCAAGGATATAACTCGATTTATTCGTCTTATTAATGGAGGAATCTTGAATAACATTCTTGTGCTAGGCATATCTGGTACAAAATTGAAACATACTGCATATTACTGCAGGTGCTCAACTTATTCCTTGCTCTACTGTTGAATTCCTTTGGAGCTGAAAGCCTGAGTGGTGGAGAGAATGAAGAAGATAAAGAGCCCAACAAATTGTCAGAAGCCATTGGAAGATTTACAAGGTTTTGTTTTTAGTCACTACAGTGAAACTTGTCTAATCTTGATGTTGTGTATTTACAAATCTTGTCTTATACAATCTCAACCTGAAGTCCTTTTCAGTAAATTTCCATAAAATGTTATTATATAATCTGGCATATTGTCTTACCCGGCGACATTTTCTGGAACCAGTTCATTTCCGATTAGACAACTACATTACTGTACTATCTTTCAGAAGTCCTTAGTTAATTCCTAAAACAATACCACAGCTAGGAATAAAATATTAAAAGATCTTACATATTTTGAACATAATTTATAGATCTACGATCTTTTCTACCCTAAATCAGCAGAAATAAACTTAAATATTTAAATTATTACTAGTTGGAGTTGATAAGTCAACGTCTATTTGTCTATATAATTTTAAGTTGAAAGTTAGTGTCAAACATAAATGATAGTTAAAATATGGGATAATATACTACTTTGCCTTCGAAAGAAAGAACTGTTATAATTGTTATAAAGTGCCTTTGCTAACAAATTGGGAAAAAAGTCAATTTTAACTTTTTTATACAGTTGTATGACATGTACATACATGTATCAAATGATATAGATTTAAATAAAATTAAAGGTCTAAAATGGGCCTATGATTGCATATTATGGGAAATTCACTTTAGATTAAAAAATTTAATCTATTTAATCTATTTTTAAGAATAATTTTAGAATTAAATTTAATTTTGAGAATTATTTTAGGCACACCTTCTTTTTAAAAAAAATATATAATCACATTAAATATATAGAATATAGATGCAACCTGTCTTAATCGATTTTGTTTATATTATTACAATTAAAAGTGAAATAAAAGGATATGTAGGAAAAAGTTTAATATAAGATCTATATTATCAACGTGTTTATCTCTGTTTATGTTTTAGGCTCGGCAGATGGATCAAGGTCAAGGTCATTGTATGCCTTAAGGTGAAAATGAAGTCCAAACCCAAGCCCAACGGAGGAGACGCAAGTCCTCGTTTGAATGGGAAGGACTTGCCTGACGGAGGACAACCATTCAGTAATGGTACAGTGATTGAATTGCAGGCTAAACCCGAAGATACCGAAATTACTCTTCCAGGTTTTATTTTCACATTACATACTTACTTTTGTTAAGAGAGAAGTAAAGAGTATATGAAAGATCTAAAAAGCAAGTAATAAACATTTTACTTTTTAGTATACTATATTGACTGATTGTCAAATGAATTTTTCTATTAACAAGAGTACAATAGGAAAATCAAGAAAAATGGTGTAAACAAAATTGAAAACGTTTTGAGAAATTTAAGTAAAGAAAATAAAGTCTCTTGACACCGAAGATTTGAATCTTATCTCAGATTCTGTCATATTAAAAAATGTATTTAAATTATAAAAGATGTAATTCGTTTATAAAGTTTTATAGCCCATGATCCGTTAGCTAGAAACTTTTTTTAAAATAATTTTTTTTAATCACAGATAAACTGACATTGAAATATTTGATGCAATTTACTATTAAAATTTTCAATTTTGAAGTTTAAAAATTTCGGAATTTGATACTTACTTCATTCATTATTAACCTAAAAATGATGACAGGGCCAGATGTATTGTTTACTTCTGTCTTATATTAGTATGGCACATTGGTTGCTTTCGTTTTCTAAGTTTCCATTCAACATCACTGTGTTTTGTACCAAATATTAAATAATTTTATTTTTCCTTTTATGTTCGTAATCAGGAGAACTAGTGCTAGTGGAAAATCATTCACCTGGTAATTTTCTTTTTCTTTTTACCTTCAGTATTTTATGTTGTTCGTGGTTTTTGATTCATAATGAGCATTGGCATGTATTTTTAAAACAGCTTCATATGTATTTCTTAAACAACTTTGAATGTTTCTTTCGAGGAATAACATTTTAATAAGCCTAACAGTTTGTGATGTCAAATAAAGGATACAGTATTGTACTGTGAACATTTTTTGGTTCCAGATTATGTTTCACTAGATTTTAACAATAAATAAAATAGGGGAAAGGAAACTAATATTCTGTTATTATATACATCTTAAAGAACTTATAAATACGTTCTCTGTTGTTGTAAATCAATTTTTTCTAGTATATAAGTGGGTTTTTTTTAAACAAAACTAATGATAAAAATTTTTTACAATGTAGATATATTCATTTACATGTAAAATGAAGGTAGAATGTCTTATCTTTTGTCTTAAAACTTTTTATAACTTTCTTGTAATTAAGTACTTGTCTGTTAACAAGAACGAAAGAAATAGGATGGCAGAAAAAAAAACAATGTTAGAAGGAAAATTAAGACATAAGGATTAAAGGAAAGCATACATTATACTGCAGAATTCTCAATGACTGAAGCTTAGTGAATCATAATGGAAAATTCTTTTCTATTTTTTCAGAGAAATCAACGGGTATTTTGGAAAATGAGAAGGTAGGTTTCGTGGATTTTGACACTTAAAAAAAGCAAAGGATTAAATTGCTCATTAATCATCATTCGTATCTAATGCAGATGGAAAAAATTTTTTGTTCTAGTATTTGTTTAAATGTCTTCAAGTTTCAGTAATTTACTGTGATTTAAAGCAGTTTTGTAAAATCTAAATCATTACAAATTGGTATCGGCCTTAATGTAGAAAATTCTGTAATTGTTTTAAAATTGTAAAAAAAAAAATAAATTCTTTTTCAATTTGTTCTGTATTTGCATTAAGGAAACCTTATAATATAACAAAGCACAATAAACCACTAACAATAATAACCCTCGAAAAATATAGCAAAACTGAATTAATAAGTCTTAAGCTTATATAATACAGAAAATGGACGACGAAACGCGACCAAACAGTCGAGGTAGTCAACGAGAATCCCTAAGTTCCAACAGCAGAAACTCCATGTCTGATGATGACACAAAATTGAGCTTAACTAAGGTGGATGCTGAGGGTGAGCCAGAAATTAATGAGGTGAAGGTCACATATGCAAATTACCCTGACGACTGCTTTTGCAAAATATGCCGGCGAAAATGCCCGTGTTGCATCCGGTTTGAGAACACCAAATTAGGGAAGAGGTTCTGGAAAATACGATGTCTAGCCTACGCTCTAGTGGAACACAAATACTTCGAGACCTTTATTATAACCATGATTCTTGCCAGTAGTGTAGCTCTCGTGAGTATTTCCTCCGCATTTTCTGAAGACTCGAAAATATTTTCTAAGGTTCTGCTTAACATATTCTTTGTTTTATCAATTGTAGGCAATTGAAGACGTTTATCTGTCCGAAAGACCTATCCTTGCGATGATCCTTGAGATTACAGACAGGTTTTTTACTGCTATATTCATATTGGAAATGTTGATCAAATGGACAGCCTTCGGATTCAAAAAATACTTTACAGATGCTTGGTGTTGGCTCGATTTTGTAATTGTTGGTGTAAGTGCATTTCCAGATTAATGAAAAAAATATACAAGATGTCATAATTACATGTTAGTGAACATTGTATTGTAAATTTTGCATTTAATTATTCAAACTTTAGCATGTTAACTCTCATTAGAAACGCCTATACACGTTTAAGGAATTAATATTTAGTTAGAATTATAAAAATATATAACTGATATCTTTTCATTTTCTCTAGCCACCTTTTCTCCATTTTTTTTTGGGTTAAATATATTTGTATTTATTTATTTCAGATATCTATCATGATGTTGGTATTTGAGCTTCTTGGATTACAGAAAATGACAGCAATCAAAGCAATGAGGACTCTAAGAGCATTGCGTCCCCTCCGTGCAGTGTCCCGATGGGAAGGGATGCGGGTACTTAATTTTACGCCTTATATATATACTAGGAGGGTTGTCCGGTTAAATCATGGACAAACGTATTTCTCGAAAAATAATGGGCGCACAAAGCTGACATTTTCATAAAATGTTTATTTATCACATTTAAGAGCATCAAATTATTTCTGATGAAGTAAAGACATAAAGAAATTTATTAAGCTTTAATGTGCACAGGGTATGGTCCTTCGGCGCACAATCACAATCCCACGGTTTCGTTTGAGAATACATTATTCCATTTTAAAAATACATGTATCGATTTCAATAAGAAAAAAACTTTAACACTTTATTTAAATTGTTACAGGTGGTTGTAAATGCGTTGATCAAAGCAATACCTTCAATTGCTAATGTCATGATGGTTTGTTTGATATTCTGGTTGATTTTCGGGATTGTTGGGGTACAGTTCTTCGCCGGCAAATTCTACAAGTGTGAAGATGAGGACGGGGTGAAACTACCAGTAAATATTACTGCTAATAAAACGGAATGCCTGGCCAAAAATTACACTTGGGTAAACTCCAAAGTAAACTTTGACAACGTAATGATGGCTTACCTGGCCTTGTTTCAAGTGGTGAGTACTTTTCTTTTTATTCAGAAAATATTCCATGTGTTAAAAAGTACATTAAAATATAAAGTCCATACAAACAACAATCATTAATACAAGTTTATAAACCTGGTCAATGACATACGTGACACATTGTTTTGATTAAATAGCAGGCTCAGATCCGGGATTTTTTCCGGGGTCCCAAACCCATAAAATATCAACATAAAATTTTCGGAGTATATTTAATAAAAAATCTCATAAACAACCTACCAAAACTCATAAAACCTATTTCCTGTGTGTATGTATTCCCGCAAAAAGAAAGTAAATGGAAAATCGTTTTTGTTTAAGAATGGGGTAAAAACAATGATAGTTATTCCATCTCTTGTAAATGTTTAATTTTGTAAATTCCGGATTTTGTCATGCCTGCAATTAAGGTTCTCGTCTTGCAAAATCCTTTACTTAAACAATGACAGATATTGAATTTCGATCTTAACAGGCTACATACAAAGGTTGGATTGAGGTCATGACCGATGCCATAGACAGTACTGATGTAAGTTTAAACATTTGTCGCCGACAAATTATTACATTTCCTTTTCATTGATGAAAACAAATTGGCGAAATTAATAGAATACTAGTAGATAAAATTCTCTCGCATATCTTAAATATAAAGTCGATTCAATATTCCTTTTCAATAATAATAGTTTAAAGTTAAAATAGCCTTAGGAGCTTTTGAATTTAGGGTAAGGATATTATTTTATTTCACAAATTGTCCACATATACAAGTTCTTCATCCCTTATTCTTGAAGGACAACTATTCAATATGATATTTTAAGTTGGTTAATTTTATTACAGATTGATGTACAGCCAGATCCAGAAGTTAACGTGTACATGTATCTCTACTTCGTGTTCTTTATTATTTTTGGTTCATTCTTCACTCTGAATCTGTTTATTGGTGTCATCATCGAAAATTTCAACCAACAGAAGAAAAAGGTATGGTATATATTTTAAAAGTAATAGATACAAATGGGAAAATGATAGTCTGTATAAAATTTACAATTTAAAAATATTCTGTTAAAGATGAAATACCGGTATTGAAATTGAAATTATGTTTACCACAGTCTTAAGGTTAAAATAAGCACTTCTAATTATTAAAATATTTTACATACTGCTTCTTCATAAAATACAAATTCAACCAATACTAACTAAAAGTTTTACAGTTAATGACAGTGATTAATTTAATTTGATTTATTCATTTCAAAGTCAACATTTTTAGTCTTTTCCGAAGTAGAATAATTTAAAAACAAACGGACAATGTTTTATTTATGAAAGCACTTTTGTACCTCATATGTTACATGTGTAGTATTAATACATCAAAAAATTTTACTTTTTCATATGTTGTTTCTGATGCTGAGAATTTTGTTTTGTGAAAAATTATTTTCATCCCTTAATAGAAATGACAAAACATGGCATAGTATTACGATGTGTTTTCACACTTTAAAATTGTCAAACTCGGCATCTCCAGAATTTTCCCTTCCTTTGTTTTTGGATCCACTTCAGTATAATACTAGGATTATGAATTTATCTACGCACGAATGTTTACACAAAAGGTTGGAAACTTTTTGTGAAAATGTTCTCCAGTTTTCATGAATTACACTCAGTCCGATGTATCGATAGTAGGTCGTTGGTTGGTTAGACTATATTATTTTCAAAGGAAACGAGTTCTTATTTCCATGCGCCAAAAAATGAAAGGTTTGGAAAAGCACGACGAAAATTATTTTTTTCCTAAAAACTCCAGCTTACTTTCGAAACCTTAAACTGCAATATTTTAGCGTAACTTTGCATCATAAGTGCGGATTGCACTACAGTATTACTTTTTCTCGATATTTTCATCAACCATACACATCTTTGGGCAGGCACTTTTAATTCAAAACAAAATTGGTGGGAGGTCATATTCGATTTTGAAAGTTTTGGCATTTTAATTTGCTTTGTTCTTTTTAAATTTATTTTCTGAATTGTAAAATTATATATGCATGAATAATATTTATTAAAAAACAGAAAGCCTTTAGGTCAATGCCTAGGTCCAATTTACATGTAATTCGTTCCGTCTGATTTATCGTAAAGGGACCCGTTACATGTATGTTGTCAAAATATACATTTTCCTAAAGGAAATCATTCAATATCGGATTCAAACAGTTGGAAAAGTACAAAAATTTTTAAATATTTTTTTTCATCTGAACATACATGATTATTTTTTAAATCCTAAACTAAATTATTTTATGGAAATTTCTATTCTTACCAAAGTTTACCCTGTAGTATATTTTTTCTGCATATTCTTTTAACATGCACAATTTCAGGCAGGCAGTATAAGTTCAAATAAAAGTTTGGGTTTGGGTCCTTTTCTATTTCTAAAATAGCTCAATGATACGATATGAATAAGAAACGAGCTTACAATTCAAAAAGATACTACTACAAGTGATGAATAAACTGGAATTAAATTACCATCTTAAGTGTTTTAACATCACCTTTTTCAATTTCTAACATCGTATATGACAAAAATGTTGCATTAGGCTGGAGGATCGCTAGAAATGTTTATGACGGAAGACCAGAAGAAATACTATAAAGCTATGAAGAGGATGGCAGCAAAATCACCCCAGAAGTCCATACCAAGACCTGGAGTTAGTTTCGTTCTAAGTAGTGTTGCGTGTATATTGGCTTGTGACGTCATCGTACTGGCGTGGCTATGTGACATAACTCTCTCTTCTCGTCTCTCTGTCCCTATAGTGTGTATTTAGCTCATTGCTTATCATGTCTAGCAGCTCATGACTGGTATATGCTTTCTAGAGACTTCCGTTGTCACGTTTTCACAAAATGCTTTTTGGTTACTAAAGGGATCAGAGTTTTCATATGTTCAAGTGCTTCATATTTGAATGCATAAAAACGATATTAAATAAATTTAAAAAACTAGAAAGACGTATAAATATGTAAGAGGAGGGTTTCATTCAGGAAGGCGAAACGTGACAACTGAAGAAGAACATTAATGGTTTGTTCTTGTCCCGGTGTAAAGAATCCCATGTACTATATTCATATGGCATTGTACATATACGGTATAGTGGTGTTGGGCATTGCATTATTCCACTGGTATAGTACAGAACCCTAACCTGAACAGGTAATCGATATTGTATTTTCCTGAAAAAAAAACCCATCATGGTAATGTGTCTCTTTGTACAGGCTGGTGGTTCTCTGGAAATGTTTATGACAGATGACCAGAAAAAGTATTACATGGCCATGAAGCGGATGTCCTCTAAATCGCCACAGAAATCTATTCCCAGACCAAGCGTTAGTTTTGATATTACTGACAAGATTAACAATTTGTAGATTTGAACACTTGGCATTCTATGTCATTTGAACAATCTACATCCGGGCACGGCATGTGAAAATACCGTGGTTTGCACGAGAAAACAGGTTCTTTTCTCTCCCCTCTAGAGTCTAATCCGTTTTTTCTTATTTCTGAGAAAAAATTAAAGGTGTCCATATATTTTTACAAACTAGAAAATAATGAAATACAACTGTTTTCATTTGTCTGAAAAATCACGGTATTTGAATATTTGCACCTTACTTCATTTTTATTGATATCCTAAGAAACTTTTTGTGAAAGGGTTTGAAGATTCTTCGCTCCAATCCTTGAAATTCAAATTAACAATTTTAATAGTGAACTCTGAACGTTTGTTATGGTAACACAAGACTAATATACAATTGTGTTTTATCATTTAATTAAATGTTAAATCAGTTGTTGGGTTTTTGAAGCCCTGTAGTATGTTTAGTGAGACGCACCGTTAGTAAATGTAGGACGGCACAGTAGGAAATGTTGATCTATATTTTCATCAGCATTTTCATCAAGTTAATCTTGTCAGTTTAAAATGGTAATAATATCGATTAATTTTTTTTTTGGTGCACTTAGAATTCTAACAAAATAACACAAAGTCACTTTTCAGCATGATATTCTTTCAAAGGGACAGCTTGGAGACTTCAGACATATCTTTTGGACAAATTTCATATATGCATGCTTATTGTGTATTTATTGTATTTCATCTTATATAACTTTTTCATAGCATACACAATTAATTGGATTCTTATATAACAGTAAATTTTTATTCTATTTCCTTTTAGGAAAAAAAAAATAAATTTAATTTAATTTTCTATGTAATATACATGTAGCATAATGTAATATATAACGATGGCTCTTTGGTAAATGTGTATTAAAGTTGAAAGGATAATTTAAAAATTTGAACTTAAGAAATGGTTTAAGTAATATTAAAAAAAAATATATTTCTGACTTTTTTCGTATATTCATGTTTATGCAGACATATGATGCAAGGACAGTTTATTGATGAAAATATTAAAGAAAATCTTCGGACATGAAATATATGTAAAATATCACAGTATTTAAATGAGAAGTTCTATATATCTGTGTATATTTTAGATTAAAAATTTCTTATATACTACATTGTACTTTATTTATGATTCAAAATGATAATTTAGATCGTATCAAAAGGAGAAAAAACATCGTTAATAATTTTAAAAATTTTTCTCTTCGAATAAATGCTGTTAATTTTATCCTTGATGAAATGACCAAATTTTGTATTAATTAAAAATAACCACAGGATATTGGTTTTTTTTAAAATCTAGAATATAATCATGGGCTGGATCTTTGATGCTGTGACCAATCAAAAATTTGACATTGGAATCATGATCATTATAATGCTAAACATGTTGACAATGGCCCTCGAACATTACAACCAATCGGAACAGTTTACCACTATCCTCAACTACATCAACGTGTCTTTTATCATCATCTTCACTGTTGAGTGTGTTCTTAAACTAATTGGACTCAGACATTACTACTTCAAATTTCCCTGGAACATCTTCGACTTTGTGGTAGTGGTGTTGTCTATATTAGGTAAGACAATCTAATTTTTGTCACAATCTTTCATTACATGGCTTTTCATATTGTACAGTTTCACAGTTTCATTTTGTTTATTTTTTCATTGCTTCTTCGATTATATGAGCGCAAATTGGGAATAATGTAGAATAAATTATTAAATTAAGGCCTAGTTTTATCTATTGCTAAGTAAGCTATTCTGTTTGTTTGTAACAGTTCGTTAAATTTTGTATTTTATCAATGAAAATCTTATTTTTCAATCAACCTGCATAGAAACAATATACATGTTTTAGAAAAGAATTCTTAAAGTGAAATTAGTTGAATCCACTGGTTGCAATTACTGTATCTTTACGCTTATAACGGAAAAGAAAACAACCCATAGAAACATTTTACCTTTATTTGGCTAATATCTATTATTCATGTTGTCAAATTGATTTTAACTTTATTAAAGTAATTAAATATTATTTGCACGTTTCTGAAATCGACATCAGACTAAAGAAAACAAATTTTTATTTATCTTGTTTTCGGTGCTTTATCAACTTTCCTATCTTATTATACCTTGATGGTTTGGAATTTATCAAATTTTCAAAACCATGCTTTCAAAATCACTTGATTCTGAAACGTGATTTATTGCTATCTATTTCCGATGTCTGAACGATTTTGAAAGGATGAAATTAATAGGTGAAGGAGAACAGAAAAGATTTTTTTAAGGGAAAAGCAATTGTTTGCTTGATGATATAAGAAGCTAGACAACTCTCTAGAAATCTTTTTAAAGTCATGATACTAGCTCCAGGGAAACAGACGAAATAGTAGGGTAAAGTTTATCATTTTAAAAAACTTGAAAGTTTAAATCTGCTTTAATTGTAGATGAAAAGAAGGCAAGCGTTTTCACGATTTAAATGAAAAAAAAACAAACAATCAACCAACATTTTAGGGTCATGTCTGTTTAAAGGTTAAATCTCAAGGGTGGGACTTAATTGGACATACAAAAGAAACATTACTTGTCTGAAAAATTTATCCTGTAATTGTGGATGTCAGGAAGGCAAATAGTAGTTTGAATAAGCAGATATCCTTCTACCAAAAATTATGAAATCAAGTCTTGAAGCCCTATGCAGGGACAACATTGGACAGGTTATATTTTACAAATCTAATATGAAAACGTCAAGTCCTGAATATAGGGCAAGTAAACTGTATGCATGATAATAATCTCTTTACAGAATGTGAAATTCGATCAATTGTATTTTAAATATCCCCTTTATTTCCACTCCTGGGCATCAATCGTATTGATTGATTGTGTATTGTTTAACGCCCCTCGAGAGAATTTTTCACTCATATGGATTATCAATTGCTGGTAGAGAGTTGCAAATTTTGTCCTTTACTCGGCACTTAGGGCCATTGAGCAGGGAGGGATCTTTTTCGTGCCAGCACCTACTGCGACACAGGACCTAGGTTTATACTGTCTCATCCGAAGGACTGATCTCCATGTCCCACAGTAGGATTCGATCCCGCGACGTAAGGATCACTTCCTTACTTCGCGACTCTAAAGCAGACGCTCTAACCACTGCACCACGCGTATTGATACGAATTGTTAAATTCATATTCTAGGAATCCAGTGTCCCAGTCTCATGAATGGCCGAGATCATAGATGGTGATTACAAGAGAAAATACTCAGATGACTGTCAAGGCCCATGGGCCTATTTTCTTATATATCTGGCATGATAGGATGATAAGGCAATTTTAGAAATTGGTTTAACTCTATTTTCATTTTGGTATATGAATTTTGTGTCTAAAGGATTCCAAATTTGTTATTTTTTGTTTGTTTTTTATTCCTTATATCAATCCACCAAATAATTGCCAAGGAAAGGCTACAAAATAACTGCTTTAATAATCGCTCCATTTTACACACGGCTTATTGTAATTTTACCCTGCACTATTTTGATTCCTTGCATGACTTTTCTATACCCAACTTAATTTTTTTTGACAATGCTATTAGTTCAATGGTGCATGGAAACAGTCACTTCTATATGTATCATGCTTTTGCTATGCATTTATTGTACCGTATATTAGTTATTTTATGCTAAAAGTAATTTACTCTATTATCATATATAGGAGAGATAGTCAGTGAGTAAAAGTGTGCTGGGTGACCTCCCCCTTGGTGCATGGAATAATTTACCCTTACAAACCAAAACTTTTGACAACATATATAAAACATGATATGTTTCAATGCCTAAAATTTCTTTCTGATTAATAAACTACCGATTATCAGTTCAAACTCTGGAGTGTTCTGATGAAGTTTTTGTTGATATGTGAAACCCCCTTAATCATGTCTTTATTTGAAGTTTTTTTCAACTAACTTTATTTACTTCATTATGTCTATGGCGTGCTGTTTTGTTAATAGAAATCTACAATAAGTTGTTTGTAAAATGAGATATACAAAAGTCTAAAGTAATAATAATAGAATTATAAGAAATTGATTAACCCCTCATCTCATTAATCTTAATGTTTAAGTCACTTTGGGATTTCCTATTCTTCCGGAACATTGTTCTATATCTTTTATGTTACGGAACACCATCACGGGTAAAATTCAACAATTAAGGAGAGGTGGCACATTGTTTTCATACACGGCATTGAAAAAGTTTGCCTTGACAGGCAAATGTAAGAGATTTACAATAATTTGATTTGTCAACCATTGTTGTATTTGAAAGAATTTGTTTTTCGTTACTGTCAAATATTGGGGCTTATTTTTTGCAGTTAAGTATGTACATTTAATGCCAATGTTAATTAATAAAATTAAAAGACAACACATATTTAACAAGTATTGAACGAAACTCGTTAAAGAAAATATCGTGTAATTCTTACTTCGTCAATTTTGGAATGATATATTATGTGTGAGGGAGAAATTTGTGAATAATGCCCTAACGGAAAATTAGCTCTTTGTAAACACAGTCACTAATAAGTACTACTCTTTATTTCATGTTTGCATCTTTTTCGTATGATTTTTTGCATGTAAATCATCACTAAGTGTTTCATATACTAATTGTTGTTCTTGTGGACCGTTTTAGCTACTATAAAGGACATTGTCTTTGTTTTTCATCAGTTTAACAATAATATTTTATTGTGAATTGCTATATTTGAAAAAAATCTAAATATTAACATTCTAATGCATAAATCAATCAATATATCGATATGAGGTATAATCAATTAAGTGACAGAAGTACACAACATATACTTTTGAAAAATAAAACCTCTTTGCTTGTCTATATCAAAAGATTCATAGGGTTTTAATTCTAATGCATTTCGAGATATTTTAATAAAGATATGATACAAAGACTGTAATATTTTGTAGGTGTGGCCCTAAGTGATGTCATGGACCAATTCTTGGTCTCTCCTACTCTTCTCAGAGTTGTTCGAGTGTTTAGAGTAGGAAGAGTTCTTCGCTTAGTCAAGTCGGCAAAGGGAATACGAACTTTGTTATTTTCACTAGCAGTGTCGTTGCCTGCTTTGTTTAATATCGCTTTACTGCTGTTTCTCGTAATGTTTATATACGCAACATTCGGGATGAGCTTCTTTATGCATGTTAAACATCAATATGGAATAGATGACTGTTTCAACTTTGAAACCTTCTTCCGTAGTATAATATATCTGTTTCAAATGTGTACATCTGCCGGCTGGAATAGTGCCCTCGCCGGGATTACAAACGAAGAAGACTGTATAGAAGAAACACAGACTTTCGATAATGGAACGACAATATGGAAAGATTGTGGTGACTACAAGATAGGTGTGGTTTACTTATGTTCCTATTTAGTACTTAGCTTCCTTGTAGTGGTGAACATGTACATTGCTGTTATTTTAGAGAACTTCAGTCAGGCTACTGAAGACGTTCAGCAAGGTTTAACTTCAGATGAATTTGATCTTTTCTATGAGAAATGGGAGAAATTCGATCCTGAAGCTACTAAATTTATTCCCCTTGGTCAGTTGTCCGATTTTGTTGACTACTTAGAAGAACCATTACGACTTCCAAAACCAAATCATTTTATGCTTGTGAAACTGGATATTCCTATTTGCGAAAATGATAAAGTGTACTGTAGAGATATTTTAGATGCTTTAACAAAGAATTTCTTAGGAACATCTGACACGCCTGGGGAAATAGATGTCAATGAAGTTGAGAAAGATAAGGAAAAAATTGAATACAAGGTAGTTAGCTCAACACTTTTGAGACAAAAAGAACATTATGCTGCAAGAGTAATCCAAAAAGCCTGGAGAAGATATAGAAATGAAAGGGGCAGCTTGCCATCTCCACCACCATATGATATGGTAATCAGTAAGGAAAGTGATATGATCACAAGCAAAGGAAGTGAAATGGCAACCAGCAAGGATAGCAAAGACACAGCAACAACAGTTAACGGAGATACTGCTAGCACAAAAAGTTTAAAGAGTGATACTTCCAATAAACAGACTGCTGGAAGTTCGGTTGATGTGCATATAGAAATTCCGGAATCAGAAATTACTGAAGAAACAGCAATGCTTTCACCGGAAAATAGAACAGTTGAGTTACGTGCGGACAGTGACGTGGTAGCGTAATGAAAAAGAATACTAAATTCGGCAGGAAAATTCGAATTGTGCAGGGCCCGGTGACTAACGGGACTCTGACTCAAGAACGTAAAGATACTCAAAGTGTACTGCATGTCTTTCTATTTATTGGTTTCAGGATGCAATTATTTATCTTCTGTATTGCGCATGCTTCGTAATGCAGATTTTGTGATGATTCTCTCTGTTATTTGTTACCTAGATTAGGCAAGTTGTAATGGCATCTATTGCAAACAATTAATACAGAGAATGATTGTTCAATTTTTTTTTTGATAAAGAAGTTTTCTGGATTGTCAATTTTGCACTAGTATAGATCATGTGATGTATGAAATTTCTATTATATTTGAAAATATTCCTGATTGATCATGAAAGAAATTTAAATTTAGATCGTTTGTGCATTATTCTGCGGTACGAATTGAACATCTAAAAGCACAGCATCAAAATGTGTCCAAACATTAGTTCTGTGGTATCAACCACCTGCATGAGAGATTTTCATGTTTTTCCCAGGCCATGCAATAAGATAAATTTGCTGTTAAAGATTTTATGTAATAAAATTCATAAAAGTAAATTTTCTCTAAATTGAATGCCCCTCTATACAACACTGCCGTATATCTCTTTCTACTACATATTCTATCTATTGAGAGCTGCTTCGCTAATCTTTCCCAAGGAACATATTTATAGTTTGGAAAGTAGATGATATTAAGTTTTACTGCGTGATACTACACTCTTAATAGTAACTGTTGCTCAACACTACTGTAATCGTGCTTGTAATATTATTAGCTATACATATATGTATATGAATTTGGTATGGGGTACATCACATCTTTTTTGCAAGAGAACATAATACATGTATACCAAATATGCCCGATTCCATACAGTATTGTTGTAATTTTTTGAAAAAAAACATTTCTGGTTTTTTTTTCATTATTTTGAATTTTTTCTGTATCTGGAACCATTTTTGTTAACTGACGAAAGTGCATTGCATTCAAAAGAATGTCTTTGGCATTTTATTGTTAGATGCCTTTGTGATTTATGTTAATCAGAGTTGAAAGTTTAAGCCTCGCTCCCCTTGTTCAATCATACATGTATGAAATATGTCACTTTTTTTCAAATAATATTCCAGCATGATAAACACAAATTCAACATACCTTGCGGAATTTAAAGAAAGCTCTTGTTTAGAAGACATTTTGTACAAGAAAGTCAGATTAATTTTGGTGAGAGGAAACTCTTTTGCCAGAGGGACTGTGAATCTTTACAAAATACAATTTCCTGCGAAAGAAAAATAAATTTGTAATATAATGATATATATATATATATATATATATATATATATATATATATATATATATATATACATTAACAACTTAATTCATTGAAGAAAAGGCATATCTTATCTTACAACATGCTTAAATATGTATATATATGTATAAATAAATCGTGTTAAGCAACCCATCGCGAGATATACATACCTTTAAAAAGAATATAACTAAAATACGGGTATCTGTTAAAACCTTATTCCAGTTTCGAATGGCATATGAACCATGATATTATGTCGTTGATATGATAAATAATCATAGCTTATGCAAATATGAAAACTGTTAAAACTTCTCAATTTATGATGTAAAACATCTAAAGTGCAGTTGAACTACAACCCTTATTATGTTTTGTACATGTTTAAAGTATGTATTGGTTGAAATTGTTTAGATATTGTTTTCCTTTACAAGGTATTTGTTGTTTCTCTGATTTCATGTGATATTTTATACGAAAACTGGGCTTTTCTTGTTGCACTTAACTTTGCCAAATTAATGTGAAATTCTATGTAGTGTCTGCTTTTTACAAGATTATAATCCATTTTATGCAGTTGCTATATTACATGTACATGTTGTAAGGAAGAGTTCAAATGTTTCTGCTGTTGGAAATCTTACCATTTCTTTCTTTTGGGAAAAGAGACACACCCCACAAATAGCAGTACGATAAATGTTTTTTCTTTCAATGCTAAAACTATTTATTATGTTAATTTCCATTCTAGGAAAAGAAAAAAGAAAACATTAGGAAAATATGTTTCAACCTGTAGATCATGCAAATTGTACATGTTTTGTAAAAGAAAGGTTACATGTTGGTGTATCTCTGAAATAATACTGTAAAGCATTTTTAAATAACACTAAATTTTTAACTGTTGAATGATAGAGTATGGGTGAAAATGCGTACATTTTCAATCTTTATATATATATGCACAATAATGAGTTTGGTACAAGGAGAGAGCTATGTATGAACATTATTATAAGATAAGCTTTTTTATTTGCAAATTTCTGTAAATAAATTTATTACACAGTTTAACGGAGTGAGTCATTATTTTTAAAATAGATTTCATCTGATCATAAAATTGCACCTGATCGTGTATTTACAGTATTCTCGATCTAATTTGAAGTTGTAAACATTTCTATGAAGAGGAAAATTTTGTTATTGCTAAATAAATAAAAACATGTAAGTAAAAGGAATGATATTAGCGTTCTAAAAAACGAAAACATATTTTTTTTTAAAACTCAACAATGTGTATCTGCCTGTGCCAATGAGAAAAAACCTTGTTGCAATTTTACAAATTTTTTTCCTACCCTTGTACTTGGAATTAATTTTTATTCTCTAACTTAGTGTACATGTTACAATTTTTCGGAAAGGTTGAAATTTAACACATTTTTTCCCTACGTTTTTACTAAGAATCCAATTTTATTCTCTAACCTATTTTTTTTTCTGAAAGAAAACAAAGGTTACCAACTATCCTAATAGGTACAAGGGCTGATCAATCAAAGATTGTACGTGTACACAATCAGAATTGCTTAATTGTAAAATGATAAAGAATGATTCATCCCATTTTACATTACACAGGAAGAAAAAGCACTGTTTATTCAGTATTTTGTTTATACATGTACATGTTTGATAATAAAATGACCTTCTTTTAAGATTTGGAATCCAGTATAAAGATAATATATCGATGTACTTAAATGTTAAAATTATTGTATTTTAACAGAACGTAGTGTTAAAGATTTTTCCTTTGAAAGAAAATGGGGAATATTTCTCGGAGTACCATGGGTGAAATTAATGCTAGGATCCTTTTAAAATGCTTAAGATAAAAACAATTATAGGTTGGATCGGGTTACATTGAGGCTTAAATATTTCTGTTGGTAGGTCACACTGTGACCATGCAACCCTGTGTATGGTCGGGCAATCGGGAAAATTCGCAACGATTTAGTGTAAAGTAGTGGCCTAGCTTCATGCATTTTAATTGTACACGTCTGTCAACCTTCTTCTAAATTATCGATAATATAAACTTACATTAGCATTGTGTCAGCCAAAACATTTGCAAAAGGTCGACTTTAATAAGATTGTTGATATCCTTGCATCATCAACTTATTTTGTATAGCTTGCCTCGTTTTAGAAATCGTCTGTACGTATAGCATGTACTTGTGTATCGTATCAATTCGGAACAGAAACTCCATATACAGCTGAGAGTTTTATTCAATGTTCGATTATATTACATGTATAAGGAAAGTTGAACATATCAAAGCTATAAATTATATTTTAAAAAAAGTAATATCTTTCAGTTGAGGACATATTAAGATGATAATTCTTTATCGTTGCAAACTTCACCGTCCTAGTTATATATTCATTTCTTTATATCAAGGGATATTTTTTGTTTCCTGAATATTAAATTAAATAAAATCTGATGATTTTGAAGTGGTCTACACTTTGCTTGCTGAGTTAATCATAAATGCCCACAAGCTTAACACAAACTTTAAACACTCCCCGAAATCTTCTAAGTACTAAGTGTGTAGTGACTGATTGACTACCTCAATAATAACTGACTTTTTTAAAACTAATGTGAATCAGAAAGTGCGTTGCCTTTGAACAAGATGTTATTGATAGCAGTAGAAGTTACCTAAAAGAAACGCAATTTGACTAACTGGAGAATATGAGATAAAAAAAAATATGAGCTAAAAATTGAAGTCTTTTAATCCTAAACACGGATACATTTTATTATTTTTTTAGGGAATTCCTAATTAAGAAATTGTTTTAAAGATGCAGCGTTTATAGTTTTTTTTATATAACAACAAGTGAGTTATCCAACTGTTATAGAGATGATTGAACTTTTATTTTTCATAAATGAATCTCGGATAAAGTGATCAAGAAAACTTTTAAGTAAGTGTGACTATTATATTTCAGAGATTTTAATATTTGATAGATATCATTCACGGTAGCCCAAGTGAATAGTCGAGAAATCAAAGATACAAGAGACTCGGGCATATTAATGCAGCTAGTCCCCCTCTGCAAAGAAATGAACCCATGCTTCCATTACTATCATTCTAATTGTATTTGTATAATGAGAGTAATACATGTGTATTTACCTTTCACACATAGGTTTATAACTCTGTATTTAGCACGCTTAAGGCAAGTAAAAAAATTTCTTATACTAGTATTCGCTGTGTAAATTCATAATGACGTAATAAAAACTTCATCAAAAGTTAGGCTTGAACAACCATATATACTATACCTGTAGTATACTGTATGTGATATTCTCCGTTGTTTTGGGGGTCTTTGTCGCCCAACCCCAAATTTTTGTGGTTCCATGTTTTCATATCTTCAAAAGAAGATAATCACAAATAATCTGGGGTTTTGTCTCTTTCTCATATTTTTCCTCCCCATCATTTCTAATTATGTATCCCCTTCCAAGGGAAGACTTTGTTTTTGTTGATTTTCGTTATTTTATTCTTCTTCATCATCCAAATTTTGGATAGATGATCTTAAGACGGGGTGTACGCCACAAAAACGCCAGCTATTTAAAAGGCCAAGGTCATACTTTAACATCAAAATAGAGTATAGGCCATAGTTTGAGTACGCTTTGATATTAGGACTTCAAACTTGTAACATTGAAAGAAGACGTTAAATACAAACCACACTGCACCAGAAATTTGACCATGACCCCTTTTTTCAAGGTCATATAGAGGAAAACATGACTTGACCATAACTTGAGAACATTTGGACTTCAAACTTGGAACATGCAAAGGAAACATAAAAGAAGAGCGCATTTGATAAAAATGTTTTACCTTAATCCAGTCAATATAAGGTCAAGGTCAATCTTTCACATCAAAATAGAGTCCAGCCCGTAGCTTGAGTGCCCTTTAATATTAGGACTTCAAGCTTGTAACAAGATGACATTGAAAACAAGATGCAGTGCACCAGACCTTTGACCTTGTCCTCTTTCTTCATCAAGTTTAAATAAAAAAAAACTTATCTAGACAACAACTTGACAACCCTTTGACATTAAGAATTCAAACTAAAAACATGGAGATAAAGTATAGGTGAAGGGTGAATGCCTACATTTTTTTTTACCTTGACCTATTCTTAAAGTCAAGGTCAACATTTAACAAGAAAATATTGTCTAAATCATAACTTGAGATCTTTCTTGACATTAGGATTTAAGTTTACATGTGTACATTAGGATTTAGGAACAAGTTAAGACAACATTAAGCCTAAATGCACTACGTCAAAATGTTTGACATTGACCACTTTCTTCATTCAAGGTCAAATAAAGAGAAACAAGACCAGACCATACCTTTAGATCCTTTTGATTTCAAGACTTGAAAGATGCACTGTATTATTATTTTTGGCCTTGATCGTAAAATTGCACTTGTTAATGTTGGTAAAGAAGGGGAGACATGTGTTTTTTGTAAAAAGAAAAAAAAAACAACAACAACAACAAAAAAAACAACAAAAAACAATACCCACTGTTACAAATATCATATTTCACTTTATTGATATAAAGACACGGACACATTTTGTTCTGGGAATTTCTGAAAATAATCTCAGGGGTAAGAGCGAAAATTTTACATAATCAAGTACATGTATCATTTCCCCCTTTCGAGAAATTGTTGAGAAGTGCTTACTTTGTATAGATGCAAGTTCGTTATATCTCCTTGCAGAATTTGTGTAAAACTGTGCAATCATCAGGTAATATTATGTATTCTTTAATTTTAGATCTTAATAAATTATTTCTTGTTTATTCTATCAATCTCTATATATTTGCTAAAGTTGATAAAACCGTAAAAACTAACAAGCACTTTTTAATCACAGTAAGTCGATATATATAAATATTTTCTTTTATTCTTATCAGGGAAAGGTGTTAAAAATCTTTGATAAATACAAGTATCATCAAGTGTAATTCAAAACTTTCAGTTGAACGGTTTTTAAATTAAGCGTTAAGCTATATATTTATTTCATATATATTTATTTGATTTGTAAAACAAAACAGGAAAATGACAGAAACTTCGTTTAGCCTTCTGAGGCCAAAATCAAACGTCAAAAATAATATCCCAGAAGGGGAGTCTCCTGTAGATGTTGATAGAGAAGAGAGAAAGAGTTTGACGCCCAGAACAGGCGGGGAACCGGTGCCAGACGGAAGATTCAAAGAGGGTAAAAGATTACCCTCCTTCCTCAGAAAAAAATTTCCAGTAAAATATCAAGGAAAACCTTTGGAAGACATTGACGAATTTTACAAAAATCGAAATGTAAGTGATATGTGGAGGGGAGTAACAAATAAACTTTATATTTTTAGAAGTTGAAACATTCTAAGACAATTGAATATGCAAATATAAAATACGAATAGTTTTTAATTTTTTTAGAACTGTATGGTACTAGTATTTTGATATTAATTTTTATGAATAATCGTATAATGCCTAATTATTTTGTTCATGGTGGATTATTACATGTATTTTAAAAAGATAACTGAAGAAGTATTTTATTTGTCAATTATAATTGTCTTCACTATTTTCTCCTTCCTGTAGACGTTTGTGGTGATTGGAAAGGGACTGTTCATCTATAGATTCAGCACCTCCGACGTTTTCTTTTTGTTCAACCCCTTTCATCCACTTCGGAGGATTGCTCTCTTCATTCTTGTTCATCCGTATCCTTTATGAAATCAATGACGTATTTAAAAATTAAAAAATCTCACCCGGTTTCGCATAAAAAAAATTATTACAAAATGATTATAATGTTAATATTTGCAATGTTCCTTAATTGTTTCCTTATCATTTTAAGGTTATTCAATCTGTTTGTTACTATGACAATACTCATTAACTGCGTTTTTATGACAATGGTTGAATACCCGGTATTCTGGATTGAGTAAGTCATATTTGCAGAGAGGAAATGTCTTAAATGTCGGGTATCTCTTTTTTAAGTTTCTTTTTATTGTGTCCTTGAGAAGAAAATCAATACTTTTACAAATTGCGGAAGTAATTTTTTGCGAAGATGCTTAAATAACCTTTTAAAGCAATAAAATACTTGCTGTAGTGTTGTCAAGACAAAATCATATATTTGAAATTAACTGCACCCCTTTCCTTTATACATAAAAGTAGGATCAGAGTAAGATATATGATCTGATTTAGAAATATAATTTTCTTTGACATTGGCTTGGTGTATGTTTGTAAGACAGAAAACCTTTCCTCCAGCTCAGAACAATTCAACATGCAATTTGTTCACCGGGCACACCAAAATGCAACTTAATTGATCTTTAAAGCACTGTATTTGAAGTATCAGGATAAGTCAACATTTAATAATAAAACATTTTTTTTAAATTCGTTCCTTTAAATCTATTTAAAGATTTTATTTGCCCTTTTACAAGTTATTTTGTAATTTAATAGCTTATTCATGGGTTTAAAAAAAGACAAATGCAGTTTTTATTTTGGAAAATAAATTTTGATTTTAAATGAAAGTTTTAATGTCATTTAGATATTTATTGACAAGTTATATAAAACAAATAAATGATTAATTAAAAGCAAATCGTAGGCTCTAATTAAAAAGTTTCCTTTTTGCAAATAGAAACATTTATTTATATTCTCTGAAAGAATAAAAAGGTAGAACATAATTTTCAAAAAGCAACTCATAGTCACGAAAATGTATCAATCTTTAATTGTTGAGATCTTTTTTTCATAAATGCTATTTCAAATATCCATCTTCTTTGCTAAAATTGGCAATGCTATAAGAATCTCACTGTGATTTTTGAGGGAATTCTTATCGAATAAAATTCCTAATTTAAAGCATATGCAGATCATGCACCAAATAGAGGAATAAGCGTTTTTCGTTATCTGATTATCATTTACTGAAGGTATATATATAATGAATACATACAGGTGTGTCAGTATACAATTATATGTCGAAGTGAGTTGGTACTGCCAATCTTTTTTTTTTTAATTTAACCTTGGATAAAATCCTTATAAACTAAGGTCCCGTGTTACAGTGTAGGTGTTGATCCACCAATGCTCAATGACCCTGAGCGCCGAGTATACAATGTAGTTATAAATTTGCTGCCCTCCATTGGGAAATTGTGGCAAAGTGTGGCATCTCCATATGAGTGAAAAATTCTTGAGAGGATCATTAACCAGCAAACAAAGATTAAGATAAATCTTGGTCCAGTCGAGTTTGAGATAAAGCTTGTTAATTGAATGCATCAATGAAAAAGAACATTTCAGTTGTTTACTTTTTATACATTCCTGCAGATACATATTTGTTGCTTGTTATACCGTTGAAGGAATGATAAAAGTCTTGAGTAGGGGACTGATTTTGAATCAATTTACCTACCTAAGAGATCCCTGGAACTGGTTAGATTTCGCCATCCTGATATGTGCGTAAGTAATTCAAATATAAAGTACCTCTTTCAAATCCATTCAAACCTCTTGCTTGTTTCAATTTTTCCATTTATAATGAAGATCATAACAAGGCACATAAGAATATAAGTGATATACAGTTATTTCGCCTGAAGTAAATTTGGACTGTCACGATGTTTATTTTTATTTTGGAATGCAAAAAAAAATTAGTTTTTAGTTCAAAATACATGTAAAATGTTATATTGCGTAAGTGTTTGTAAATATTTATTTTAAAACTGGTTCATAATTCTTTCAACAGATATTTATCTTTGTGGTTTGAACTGGGAAGTATATCAGCAATGAGGATTTTTAGAGTACTTCGTATTTTGAAGACTTTTGTATATATACAAGGTAACTGTTGAATAATACAATGATATTATGATTAAATTAAAGAAAAAACAAAAACTAGATGTTTGCACTATAGATAGACTTCATATGATGTATTTTGTATTCGAACTATGTCTCTTAGTCGCCATCTTGTTGGTCAATCTGGTCAATTTTAATCTTTGTGATCTTTGTCTTGCTTAATTTAAGAGGGTGTGGCAGAAATGTTTAGGGGAAATCTTAATAGAATAAAAATATGAAGAAGCTTTCACAAATGTTTATTTTCAGTGAAAAAAATGCTTCCTACCCCACGATGGCTAATACAAAAAGTTTAAAAGTTAGAGTTGGTTGAATAATGATGGAATATGCGGACGTTGACCTCCAATATGGCGGCCAACGAGAAATAACTTACTGTATCATTATATTATGTCATTGTATGCATAACTGATGAGACAGCCATTGTTCAAGAAATCCATGCCGGTGGCTTGCTTAGTGTCGTTTTTGAATTGATTAACAGCAATTGTCTTCAAAGGAAATAATGGAAATAATTTTCAGAGAATATTTAAATATTTATCTCATCTTAATGCTCAAATCTCTTTGCAATATCAGAGATCTATTGTTTTAAATATCATATATTTCATCATTTTTCTAAATAAAAATTATTGAAATTAAATGAAAAGTACCTACTGTCGTATATTAATCGTAATTTGTTTGCCAGAAATATTATGTTTACTTTAAATTTACACATTTTTTTTTTCTATATTTAGGCTTACGGGCAGTTGCTGGTGCATTACTGGACGCTATTCGCCGACTTCGAGACGTCATCGTTTTAGCAGTTCTCATGATTTCAATATTTGCCATTGTTGGCACTCAGCTCTACATGGGCACATTGAGACACAAATGTATTACTTTTGAAAACTTTAATGTATCCTTAAATCATACAGAATTCAAAGACAAGTGGTTTCAACATATACAGAATACAGGTATTTCCTTAAGAGGTTAAGCAACATTTCAAGAGGCAGTCCACCGAAAAACTAGGCAATGGGTGGCACATCGCATGTCATGGATTTTAATTATTTTTTTGCATGTAGACTTATTAAAGCAAGTGTTTACACATGACAACATCAACAAAATTTTTAGTGCTCCTGTAGTCCTATTTTTGGTAAATGCTTAATTTTAAGTACAAAAAGGTCAATATGAGGGTAAAAACAATACTACGTTTTTATTTTGTTTTATATGTAACAGATACTCAAAAGCTGGATGTGTCGATGAATATTATTTATAGCATAGACTCTTATCATTTATTTTATTAATGAATAAGACTCCAATTTATACTTCTTTAGAAAAAATTATGTGGTCAAAATTTGAGTTTAGCAAGTAACTTTTTGAATTCAGTACCTGGGTATTAAACAAACTAATCAAATACATAATTATGTCGAATAAAGCTGCCTCTTCTGGTGTTGGGGCGGGGCTCTATTAATTATGTATTGAAAATGCATAAATTCTTCTTCTCTGCTCCTGGGTTTTAAACAAACTAACCAAGTACATGGATTTGTTGAATAACAGTGCCTCTTCCAAAATTATGAGTCTCATGGCCTCTAAGGTTTTCATTGCGTTATAAAACCCAATACATTACAAGGACAAACTTTTTTTCTTATGTTATTATGAATACAAAGTACAAACTTTTGAGTCACTCAATAAAATCAGTGGGAACAGGTATATTGAAATAAATAAAAGGGGTCAAATTTAGCTATTTTTTATAATTTTGCCAAATGAAATCGATCCCGACCAGAATTATATAAAGAAGAAAATACTATAATAATTGTAATGTTAAATTTGGCTCTTTTGTTGTAATTTGATTAAAAAATTACTTGATTTATTTTTTAAACATGTTATATAGGTGGCACGTGCCTTTAGTTTGATAAATTTATTAATTTCGCATTATTTTCGATCGGGATCGGTTTTAATTCAATCGGGATCGGATTTTACCATTTTAATTTATCAGAAAAATATGTTTGTCTATTATTTCTTTTCAGTCAGTTAACTGTTTTAAATGAGTGTAATAAATAGATTCAAATGTATATAATTATATTATATACATTTGTGGTATCTCTCAATTATATAAACATACAGAGAGAAAATATCTTCAATTTTGTATGAAGTTGGTCAGAGGTCAGAGGTCAATACGTGACCTAATCACACGGCGCAATAATATCTACTGACCTGCTTTACTTGCTTTTCATGTTTAAAAATGAACAAAATAAGCGAGTAAAATGATAATTTTTTAATTTAAAATGTAAACAAGTATTTCATACAGTTTTTGGACTATCGATTGAACCTGTGTACATAGAGAAAACTAGGAGCCTAGCGTTTGTTTACATTTTTCTTCACTTTTGTCAGCCGCACAGTCTCTAACGTTCATCCTTATTTTTTGGGGGGTAGACCTTTGGTGAAATTTTTATGATAACTTTTATTTTATCTTTAAATTTTACTCACGATAAATGTGTAAATCTGTTGGAAAATATCATTGCAATCATACCATGAACAGCTGCCAAACACCTCGGCGTTTTCGTAGTTCAATGTAAAGCTGTCGCCAGTGTCTCCGTGTTTATCAGTGTTTTACGATAAGTTACCTTTAGTTACTGAAACTGTAGAATGTTTTTGATCAAATTGCAAATTAACTGGCTCGGACAAGTGTCCATCAGATCTATCCATTCCTTTCCGGCGACCGAAATTCCTCCAACTTTTTATCATCAAACTTCGGACGTGTTTCTTGTGTCTTTTCAGCATCGATTATCATTTTTCACGTATAAAAAAATTCCCAGACAACAATCTGTTCACTATTACTGATCACAATTAGCCTTTCACAAAATATTACCTTCGAAATAGATTCTTTAGCCTAATAAATTCGAAGCGTAACCGCCATGCAAGCCGATTTACACCTTGCGTCATTTTTCAAAATCTACAACGGACGGTTAGTGCAATAATTTAAATTCGAAAATATTCAATTGTCTGTCTCAAATGTATATATAAGTAATAAATAACAAGTTTATAAACTTCAATGGGAATTGAAGTGGGTCGGTACGTGATCAAATCTTCTGAGAAGGCCTTCGGCCTTCACAGGATTTGATCACGTGACCGACCCACTTCAATTCCCATTGAAGTTTATAAACTTGTTATTTATTTCTTAATTCAATTCAATATTACTAAAATATTTTACGCGCAGGGGTAATAAGGAAGCATACAAAATATTCTACCTTGACTAAATCAGTGCTACATTATGACGTCATAGTTGGCAATATGACGTCAATTTTAGAACTCAAGTTTTCCCAATACTGGTATTTAGAGATGTAATTTAACTCTAGGAAATGACTAGAAACGTGTAAACATTAACAAAAATAAAATGTTTTAGTTTGTTATGCTGTATCTGTCATTTTGATTGAAATCTACCACCGATGACGTCATATGTGTACATCAAGTAACTTTGGAATTGATCATGTCGTGTAAAGAGAATTTGGCTAGGACGGCGAATACAAAGATAAGTAAAATGGAGATTAAAAGGAAATACCGGGAATATTATGTGAAATTCATATTGAGTTCAGTTGAATAAATAGGTATGCTAATTTATTTTCATCGATTTTATTTTCTTTCAAAGACAGTCAGCTATATTTGTATCCCGGTCTGCCTTTCCTCTGTCGTTTGTGACATAGGGGCTTGTCTTCCGGATTGTTAAATGTAAAATAAATTTTAAAAATTTTGAATCTTCTTTTTGGGTATGTGACACAAATAATGCAACAGAACAACAATAAGCTGGATATTTCAAAACATAATATTTGTAGAGATGGAGAGTTTGCCTTCTGACAAGCTTGGAAAGTGCTGCTAGAATCCCGAGTTAAGCATGGTTTTACGAAAAATCTCGGTTCATATGAATACAATTCAAAACATAGGGTAGGGTTTAGTGCAAATGTGTGTAATAATTATTTTTCTGACAGGACAGTGGGATTCTAGCAGCACTTTTAAGGCAAAATAGATGTTTTTCAACTATATTATTTAAAACTATTATTATTATTAAACTCCGGGGTATTGTTGTTCTGTTAGCTTTTTTATTAAGGAAAATTTCGCTATTAATAGAAGTCATGTGATGCCGTGGCGGTGGTGCATGTCTTTGCGTTAGACACTCTGTTATCTGTATGCAATCATTAATAACACTTTACATTTATCAGCGGTTTTGGTAATTTATCAAACTTAATTTCCTTTAAAAAGTCTTAATTTTCTGAGAAATAACTTATATGCTTCCTTAACATACCTGCGCGTATATGAAGATTACATATGAAACATCTTATTGATTTCTTAATAGATACTCGGGATTTAAAAAAAGTATTTGTAATGTATACATGCATTATGCAACAACTGAGAGCAGACAGCTTTCTAGCTTCATTTATTATCTTATTTCCAAGTAAAATTTCATTTTTATTTTCTCAGGGATTAAAGTAAATTCTATCAGTGGCGAAATTAAACTTGCCTAAATACAGGAAATATTTTTATATGTGTATACAGTCTCGATTTATCCAAGTTTTTTCTTACCTGTCATCTGCAAAGCCTTTTCCTCTTTTACAAAATTTGATTTTATACAAATAAGACAATAAGTTCTTTCATATGTAGTACCTATTCAAGAGCCGATGAATCGCAAGTAAAAAGCCGGGGGAGGGGGATCATTGCATCGTTATTTTTAAAAATTTGTTTCATGAACGTGAAAGCATTTTAGAATTGGCCAACAAAGTCACATGTTTAAACTCCATGTTAAGGTAATTCCACCCTCCTATGATGTCATAGGTTTTTGCAAAAACTGTAATTAGTTTAAGGAAAGCCCACACTTTTACGGATCCGGTTCTAATTTTACACATCAATATAAAATTCTGATTTTCACTTGTCTATTAATATTAAACCTTTTTGGGTGATTGAAAACGATTAAGCAAGTATATTTTTATTTATTATAGTGTTATTGTGCATACAAAGCATTTAATATACATTATTTATGGAAATTAACATTTGCACTCTGTCTATAAGATCTATATGTCATTTATAGTACATACACAGACACAAGATTCTTAATTGCTTTTGTGGACCTAAATCTTTTTAATTTTCTTTTAGTCAAACTAACCTGAGATCTATTCTTATTGATTTAAAGCCTATATAATCCATTTAATTATTTCTTTTTAAAAATTTTGCAATGAATAATTGAAAAAATTGGTATTCCAAAAATGGGGGTATACGTCTTCAAAAGGCTGTTTTGTTAAAATTCTCTGGCCAACCATAATAAATTATGTATTTTTGTTCACATTAGATATAATTTTTAATAGTTTTAAAGTAAAAATGGCATCTAAACAGGTTGGATTTTGAGAATTATAAAAAATGAAGACATTTTGAGATTTTTTTCTGAAAGACATGGACAGATTCAAAATCAATTTGTTAATGTTTTGCAGTAAAGATTTCAAATATTCTCTAGGCAAATGAATATTTTTTACCTTCATAAGTTTTAACATAAATTTAATTTGATTTGGTGCATAACTACAAGAAATATGATATCACATATCTTCATGTTCAATTTTGGCTGTTGGGTTTTTAGAGGTATGTGCTCTGAGACCTTTCGTATGAAAATTAACCTGCAAAGATATGTCTTTTATGGGTGTTTTAGTTAGTTTAAGACTTATTCAAGGTATTAACATTAAAAAATTATTACTTTGACAGAAAATTCTGAAAGTACGGACCTACCTTAAATTCATACCTTATAGAAAAATATCTCTTGGAAGAATGCTTAACAATAGGTGTGATGATAAATATTGTTTAGTTAAAGAATTTAAAAAATGCATATTTTCTATATTTAATCAATTATTCAATCTTTAAAAAATGTTGACAAGGGCAATAACTCCTTCTAAGGTCTCTTCATTCAGGCATTTGTTTTAATGTAAAATACTTTACCTGATATTCACAATGTTCAAAAGTATCTTTTAAGTAGGAAGTATTTAGGAACACTCAGCATCAGAATTCTGCATTTTAACCAGTTTTTACATATTTTTCTCAATACTGTTTACAAAAAATGTACAATTTTTATGTTGACATACATTTCTGTTCATTTATGTTTCGCATCTTAAATAATATGGTGACCTATACATTTTTTGCAACAAATGGAAAGTTTAAAGTATATTGAATGAAAATAAATGCAGTTTTTGTACTTTGAACATATAAAATTGTGAGGGTGGAAATTCCTTAAAGTAATATACGCCGTATGGATGCCGATTTGTATGTGAAACAAAATGATTAAATGATTTGAAACACATAAAGTGTAATGAAAAAATAATATTTCCACAAAATTTAACTATAAAACTCGTTGTAATAACAGAACAATAAAGCAATATCTGCAATCAAGAATTCAGTCTTTTCATGAATATTGATAAAGGAAGTGCGTAAACAGTAGGTCTAAATTTAGACACGTACGTCCACGGGAAATTATAGACAAAAGGCACGTTGCATTTTGACAAAGATTACTAATAAAAGGTTAATATGCGTCATAACAGAGTATAGATGGTTGATAGTGATTACATTTAAAGATAAGTTATATTAATAGTAACACGCCATCCATGTCAAAAGCAAGTTGTATCTCAAAGGGCTTAC